GGATCAAATGGTAGTTCTACTTTTAGTCCTTTGAGGTATTTTCATGCTACTTTCCACAGAGGTTGCACTAATTTGCAGTTCCACCAACAGTATATAAGTACTCCTTTCTCCCCACATCCATGCCAGCATTTGTTGTTTTAGGACTTTTTGATAAAAGCCATTCTCACTGGAGTTAGGTGATATCTCATAGTGGTTTTAATTTGCATTTGCTTGATGATTAGAGATATTGAACATTTTTTCATACAGCATGGGCTTTTGAATCTGATCTGTTCTGGAGCCCTGGACCTGCCTTTTGTTGTTTTGTGATTTTGTGCAAGTTACTTAGCCTCTCTAGTCATCTGTGTGCTTATCTGCAGAATAAGTAAAATACCTATCTCCTTGGGTTACATGACTGAAGGACATAATGTTCCCATAGTACTATGTGCAATGCCTGACACACAGTTGCTCAGGGCACCCAAGTCATCATTACTTGTCTAGGAAAAGTGGGATTGGGCTGTTGTGGCTAGATTCTCTTCTCTTCTTTCTAGATAAGCATCGCCTCTTAGCAGCTGCCAGGGCAGTTCTTGCATTATGTAACTCCAGGAGAGAAAATATCTGCTCCTTGCAAACAAACTTAGGGTTTCACACACTGTATTGGATATTAAAGGCACATTAAATCATCTGCTCCAGCTCCCATATTGCACAGAGAAATAAGCTGACTTCCAAGGAGGCAGCATGACTTGCAATTAGAAGTGGTGCTGTTTTCCAAGGCCAGGCCTCCAAGGCCTGTTTAATGCATAATGTGACCCAGTGTTTCCCAGAGGATGAATGATCCCATATTAGGATCATACAAAGGGATTTTAAAAATGCATGTGCATTTTAAATCCTATACCCAAACTATTTTATCAGAATCTCTAGAGATGGGACCTGGGAATCTGTATGTAATAGAGAGTCACACTTGAATTCCAGTACCACTTATGTAGTAAACAATTACATTGACTTACAGTATTATAAAATGTGTCTGTGTCACCTGGTAAGGATTTCAAACAAGATCATAAATGGAGGGCTGTTGAACTATCTAATAATTTCAGCTATTTTTTCTATTAGTTTCTGCCTCAATTATCCATTGAGTTGCATGTATGCTAGGATAGGCCCAGTCCTAGGGCTCTTGTGAGTTTGTATAAGTCAGTGTAGTTCTTTGCTTTTCAAAAAGCCCAAAAAGTGAATTAATATATGTGTAGGCTTAGAACTGTGGCTCAATAAATGTTACCCATTAGTACTATTACTCAGAGCAGAAAAACCATCCGCATAGAAGTGGTGCTGGTCTCTCTGATATGAGGCTAGTTCATGGGGTCAGGTGTCCATTTGGTTAGCAAAGATGGCTGGAGATAATGATTAGGAGAAAGAAAAAGGAAGATTCCATCTAACACTCCAAAATTGTGTGACAGATCATACTTCTTTGTTTTTTGTTTGTTTGTTTTTTTCCCTGCAAAGAGAATGTAAGATTAGATATGACTTAACTTTTGACAGTATAAATTGTTGCTTGCATCAGCAAAAATTCCCCATATTGGGAAGATTGTTCAGTTAGGGATTTATTTATTCTCCTACACACAAATAGATACAGTCACACAAAGAACATAGGCTGTTGTATACTTTTTAGGTTGTTGTTGATTTGTGCATCTCTAAATTTGAAAACACAAAGATAGTTTTCATAAATGGAGAATTTCAGCTATAAACAGATTCTTAGTTGTAATACGTAGTGTGTAATTGAGAGAATGTGAAAAAGAATGAGAAAGTAGTTTCTGTAGCATAGTGAAAGGGAGAGAGAGTTTTTTCCCCCTTGAGTAAAGCATCTATTTTTTTTAATTTAATTTTATTTTATCAAATTATGGGGGTACAAATATTGTTAGGGTTACATATATTGCCGCTGTCATTCCTCCCCCTGCCCCCTGCCTTACCAAAACATCAAGCGTGTCCTACCCCTAGGTAGGACATGCACATCGCACCTATTTTGTAAGTATAAATTCTTTCCCTCCTCTCCCCTCCCATCTGCCCACCACCCGATAAAAGTTTTTTTTTTTTTTTACCTTTGGGTTGCATTGTATATCTTTGCCTTTCCCTAGGGAGGGTTAGAGGTATTCCCTCCCCCCCCACACACCCCCATGCTCGTGAAGCATCTATTAAATGCAAAATAAATAACTGTGGACTCTGGAACCAAGAATCCACAATGACAGCATTTTGCAATAATGGCCCCTTTCATATATAGATTTCATAACAGTTTATGGACACTAAGTTTTATCATGCTCATACAACACACACTGGGTTTTTATTAACTCCTTTTTTACTGAGGAAAAGCAGGGCAGGGAATTTGTAAAGAGTTACTTGAAGTTACAAAGCTAGGATTTGAACCCAGTATCCAAAGCCTTTGGGTCAGATTGTGAGGGGGCCCACATGACAGGCTTGACAGTTCATTCACAGTTTCGGTTTTGTGGAGCAGGCAGTGATCTCCAACAACTCAAAGGAAGAGGTAAGCTAGGAGCTCAGGGAGAGTCTAGGGGACCAGAGATCCTGACGTACAGGACCCGGCCAGATGGAATACAGAATCACCACATTCCATCTGGCTCAGCCTTGCCATGTTCATGCATGGACACACTGAGATTGCAGTTCACATCATCCACTCTAGGTTCTTCTTGAGAGGTAAGCTGTGAGCCCCGAATGGAGCATGCGTGTGTAGGGGGCTTGGCAATCAGGGCAAGAGGGGAGTGGGTGTGGTATTTGGGGACAGAGAGGCCAGTTACCAGGTGAAGGGACATCAGGAAAATACCAAAGAGCAGAAAATTATGTTACTCTTATCAAACAGAAAGAAAGAACAAAGTGTAGGCTAGCTCTGAGATTGTCTCAGATGGCCAACTGAGACAGTTACACCTAAGATACAGCCAGGCCCAGACTTGTCCAGGACCCAAAACAAATCTGTGAGAGTCTATCAGAACTCTTGAATCAGGACTAAAAGTAACTTAAAATAACCCGCTTTCTCTATTCATATCTTTTAAAGATTGTAGATGATTATTTTTTAAATTAATGATTTATTTTTTCAAGAGACAGGGTCTCACTCTGTTGCCCAGGTTGGAGTGCTGTGGCATCCTCATAGCTCAGTGCAACCTCAAACTCCTGAGCTCAAGCAATCCTCCTGCCTAATTAAAAATTTTTTTTGTAGAGATGGTATCTCACTATATTGCCCAGACTGGTCTTGAACATAGATCCTCTTTCTTCACCCTCCCAAAGTGCTGGGATTATAGGTGTCAGCTATTGTGCGCAGCCTCTTTTAAATGGATCAGGCAGGTGTGGTGGCTCATGCCTATAATCCTAGCAATCTGGGAGGTCAAGGCAGGAGGATTGCTTGAGGTCAGGAGTTTGAGACCAGCTTCAGCAACAATGAGGCCCCGTCTCTTCTAAAAATAGAAAGAAATTACCTGAGCAACTAAAAATAGAAACCATTAGCCAGGCGTGATGGTATGCACCTATAGTCTCAGCTACTCATGGAGGCTGAGGCAAGAGAATCACTTGAGACCAGGAGTCGGCGGTTGCTGTGAGTTAGGCTGATAGCACGGTACTCTAGCCTGTGTAACAGAGCAAGACTCAGTCTCATAAATGAATGAATGAATGAATGGAACTAGAATCATAGTGAGAATGACCAGAAAGCTCCAGTAAAGGCAGATGCAAGTTTGGGATGCCAAAAAAGGGTCTTTATAGGCTCAAAATGACCATATTTCTGAGGTTGAATTAATTACATAAAAGTAGCAGCAAATCATCCACTTCTTTAAAGAGTTACATACCAAGTTTCAGGGGGAATTTATTAGCACATCTAAATCTGAAGAGGAAAAGTTATCATATGTTTACAAGGCTAAGTTGGAAGTAGGAGGCAGAAGGAAAAAAATCCTAGTTGCTATCAGTTTTTATTCCAAATTGCATCAGTTCACTAAAAACAAATATTTTACAGAGAATGTAGTCCTTAACTCTAATAGAAAAATAATACAAATCAGAAGTATATAAATATCTATCTTATATTAAACAATATGAACATGGCTGCCAATAACAGTTTATGTAGCCATATATTCATGGATATTAATAGATGAGATTATGCTTATATTGTTGCTCACACCAACATTTGGAAAATGTTAAGATAATTTTGCCTTGACTAAAAAACATACAGCAGAAGTGATCTATTTGGCATTCTATTACCCACATCTATAGGTGCCCGTAGCAATATGTGGTACTGTAATATAATGATGTTCATAATTTGGGAGTATCCAAAGATCCTCAAATGTCTTTTCAGGTAATCAAAGAAAGATAAAATAATATTTGATATAATTTAAAAAATTTTTGAGATAGTTTTAACGGTGAGTTATTTTGTGGCTCTTTGAGTCTTGAAAAACTGGGAAGGCACATATGGTATTAAAGCTAATTCTCTTAATTGGAACATGCAATTAACCAGAAAAACCCATTCTCTAAGCTGCACTCTAACAGACAATTTGTGGAAAAGGAAACGTGGCCAGGGCAAAACATTTCCTCTTCTTATAAAGCTTGAACTGAGTATGTCCCTCACCAATTACAGAGGGTCCCTTGGGCCTCAGAACTTTCCACAAGCCTTCAGGTCTCTATGGCGATGCACTCGGCTGCTGAAGCGGAAACACAGGCGATAAGGTGGAAGCGGGCACCGTGCAACGCCAGGGGAGAAGCTTGGGCTGCAGAAGGCCACGCAGGTCCTTCTTGAGCATCTAGGACTGACTGCTCCGCCTGGCCGGGCGTCGCGGGGCCACCCGGGTCTGCCTGCCGGTTCCCGCCTCTCCAGGAAGGCGCGCGGGCCGCAGCTCCCAGGCGCCTGCTTCTGCTGGCCGCCGCTGCGCTGGGGGCCGGGGTCCCCTGGGACTCCACTTCCTGGATGCTTAAGCTTCGGCCTCCTCGCGCCCTAAGAGGGCACGACGCAGCTAACAGGGATCCGTTTTGCTCAGCCCCCTAGTCTCATGCAGCCCTTCAGCATTCCCGTTCAAATCACGCTGCAGGGCAGCCGGAGGCGCCAGGGGAGGTAAGTCACCCCGGGGTATCTCAGCCTGGGACCAGCATCTCACCCGGCAAGCGGTCAGGAGGGGGCCATGTCCAGTTTGGGGGTTGAGTGTGGTGTTTGCCCTCCAAGGGTGCCCACTTACCATGCCTCCTAGGATACCCGAAAGCTTCCCCAGTGCTGGCATCACAGGGCTACATCCTTCCTCGTTGGCTCCTTCCTCTAGGTTGCAACTTCTTGGAGGCCAGATAGACGTGGGCAGTAAGAGTCCCTCAGCATAGTGTATACGCTCTATGTACTCTTTCAACTATGCCGTCTGTATACTTTGTAGCTATCGTTATTAACCAACGACCTCTGCTCCTTAAAGGGGGAAGTGAGACAGACTGGCTTCAGGACGGCTCTTCTCCCTGGGGACATGCAAAGCCGAGGAGCTGAGGGCCTTCAGCGAAGCCGCACTCCTGCCTGCCCCGAGGCTGCCGCCCTGGGGCAGTCAGAAGTGGGCACCCAAATGGAAAGAAGAGCAATGCCTGGGGTGTTTGAGAAATAAGATATTGAAGGCCTGCCTGCTTATTTTTGGGAGAGGGGCATTTCACAGCCAAGTTCAAATCACTATCTGGAAACTTGCATGTTTGTTAGTGGCTCAGGTAGAGTTGGGAGTTGAGAGTGTGGAACATTAAAGATGGTAATGGTTTCACGATACCAACTGCTACTATCACTCAACTACACTCATGGATATTTGAGAGGAGAATGGAGGAAGAGAGTGAGACACAGGGGTTTGGATGGCGTGGGGGTTTAGAGAGGAAGCAACAGACAGACTACAGAGGAAAGAAAGAGACTCATCTGTCCTAGACATGAACTAATTCTTTTGCGAACAATTAAAGTGAATCATCATTGTATGGCAAAAGATCAAATGACAAACATGCAAGCAAACAAGTTTTAATGCCCTGTTCATAACATAATTAACTAGATATAAAGGCAGCCGTATTCTCAAAGCAACGTAGTATCCCATTTTCATTTCTGAAACGCACAATTGGATTATTGCTCTTTCCTCTTGCTGAACTTGATGAACCATGTTGACTTTACTCACCCTTATTTTTCTGTTTCAAAAGAAGTTGTTAAATAATTTTGTAATTAAAAAATGGAAGGATAAAAATCATCACCAAAGTCTCCTCTGCAACAAAAGCAAATTACAAGGAAATATTAATTTAACATATCCAATGCTTAGAAGTTCCGTGCACATGTGAAATGAGTGTCAGATGGTATTTATGGAGCTTTGATGAGCCGCAGCACCTTTCTAAGGGAACACTTCTTGTACAAGTTTAGGTGTTGGAGGGAGAGGCTGCTGGCTTCTGTGGGGCTCACACCCAGATGACTGTGTCCAGGCTCTTTGTAATGGAGTTTGCCACAGGCTAAGCCAGAAAGAACCTGTAGCAATGTATAGTACTCGTGTCTGGTGGGAAAGTCAGTCCTGTCTGCAGTGAAGACAACAGAAGAGGGGTCGATACTGCCTTGACTATGAATAAAACACCTCAAGGTAATACATTGGTTAGAAGTGGAGATGTATTACTGGCAAAAAAGAATAAAATGTTTTACATCCATCTCACTGATGAGAGAGCAAACGAGATGATTCTTCAGTGCTTTGAGGTCCCTGGTGTCTAAGGGTGCTTGTAAATACCACAAAGTTAATTACGGGGCTGTTTATAGTCTGGGAAAACTAGAAACAACTCAGTAATATTTAGCGGTAAGGAAATGGTTAAGGAAATATGGCATATCCAATTGATGGAATATTATTATGTAGCCAATACAAGGGTACAAAGAACTGTTAATGACATGGGAAAGTGCTTATTATGATAGATAGAAAAGACAAGATGAGAAAAAAAAAACCCAAACTATATCTAGAGTGATCTTATTCTATTTAAAACACTATAAAGAGGAAGGGGAATAACCCAGCAAGTGAACAGAAAGTACATTACTTTCATGACTCCTTTGACATTTGTTGAGGCATTCTTTATGGATAAGTTTGTGATCAAGGCTCATAAATATTCCATATATGCTTGAGAAGAATATATATTCTATAAGGGTCAGTATTTTATATTTATGATTTAGATTAAACTTGTTAATCGCTTTGCTCAAATATATTTCCTTATTGATTTGTCTGGGTTGAACTATCAATTACTGAGGGAGTATATAAAAATATCTCATAATTTGATAGTGGATTTTATCTATTTTTCCTTATAGTTTTGTCAAAGAGGCAATGCTGTTAGGTACACACAAATGAGCATTGTTATATCTTCCAGGTAAATTGAACCTTAATCAGTGTTATTACTTTCTTGTCATAAAGTTTTTTATTTTAAGATTCATATCAGCTTGCTTTTTGTTGCATTTTGTCTATAAATTTCAACTCTTCTGCATCTGTGTATTTTACATCTATCTTTTATGAAAACAAATACAGATGCTCCTCAACTTATGATCGGATTATGTCCTGATAAACCCCTCATAAGTTGAAAATATTGTAAGTCAAAAACTTGTATTGGTTGTTTACCCTTGTGATCATGTGGCTGACTGGGAGCTGTGGTTCGCTGCCTCTTCCCAGCATCTCGAGAGAGTATGGTACTGTATATTGCTAGCCCAGGAAATAATCAAAATTCAAAATTCCAATTACTGTTTCTACTGAATGTGTATTGCTTTTGCACCACGGTAAAGTTGAACAATTGTAAGTCAGGGACCATCTGTATATCTTTAAATCTAGTTTGACCGTCTTTATCTATTAACTGGATCACTTAATCCATTTAGCTTTATCGTAATTACTGAGATACCAAAAGAGTAACATGCTTTCATGTTATTTTGAGCTTTCTATTTGTCCTTTCTTTTTCATGAGTTTTTTCCTTTTCTTTTGGATTATTTTTCCCTTCCATTCTTTCTCCCTCTGCTAGTTTGGAAGTTATATCACCTATTTCTGCTCTTTTAGGGGCTATTCTAGAAATTTAGCATGCAGACTTGATCTGTATTATACTCTGGCTATTTGGGGGATCCAGCTCTCTGTTTCCTAATTATCTTGTCACATATATCTAATTGACTGTTAAGTCTGTTTATTAAGTTTTTACTTTTAATTATTTTATTTTTCGTTTCTAGAAATTCTATTTGCTTCTTTTTAACATTAGCTTGGTCATATTTTAGAGTCTCTTGCTTTTTCTGACATTTTCAATCCTTCATTTCTGTAAACATATTACAGATACATAATACACATTTTATATTCTGTTCAAATACCTGAAATTTTTGTGGATCTGACTTTGTTGTCTATTTTTTTTTTTTGCAAAGGCCTAGATTTCCTTGTGTGTTTTATGAATGAGAGCACATATTCCTTAGAAATTTATAGGATTCTTTCAAGGCCTAAGTTGGAGGTGGGCTTCTACAGAGCAGATATGTATTCGCTTCTGCCAAGTGGCAGAGGGCACTACCCACTGAAACAACATTAAACTAAAATTCTTAGCTAGAGACTTTTGGATTACCCCAGGTAGTGTGAATTCAAGCTAAAACCTCTCTTGAGGATAACCTGAAGCTTATAAAATTTCAGGGGAGATTGTAATTTTCCTCCTCTAGTCAGTGTCAAGTTTTGAGAAAGGAATTTTTCTTGCAGTCACATATGGAGTTGTTTGTGTGAGGAGTGGGGGGAAGGCTTATTGCTAGTTCAACCTGACACTGAGTCTTAGGTCCTTGGGGTCCCAGCCCTTGTTGAATGGTGTATTAAATTCCATACCTTGGATAAGCCTTGGGTGTTATCTCCTGTCCCTGTGACCCTACAAACTGTGACACTAAGGCTCAGGCTCACCAAGTTCTGCATATGCCCTCAGGGGAAAACTGCTTCTGTCCACTTTCCTCCCTCAGTTCCCACTTTCACATAGTTTTTGGTCCTTTGAATATTTCCAACTCTTTTTTTTAAGCTTTGTCTATAATTTTTAGTTGTCTGTAGTTAGAGTGGGTGTCTAGTCTACCATACTGCTGAAACAGAAGCCTATTACTTTTACAATAATAAAAACATATCTGTTTTAATTTTTAATTATTATTTTATATTATCCCTTCCCACAAATATGAGATAATTTACAAGGGATCTATGAGATTGTCAACTTTTCATAAAGTCTTGGTACAAAGTGGACAGAAATAGTAGAAATAAAAAATATCTGGTCTAGGATACCACCAGGACTCTCTTATTCCTAAATGAGATCAGAATCAGGTTATGCCGGTTTTGTATAACATACCATTATAATTGGATACGTTAAATGAATATATTAGAAATGCCATAGAGACCTCATTATAACCCTTTTCACCCATGGATTCCAAGGATATCTTACAATAAGCCTCCAAGATACCTTATGCTACAGAGCCAGTTTCAGAGCACAAGGGAAAATGCAGGGCATTGAGTATCGGAAACTAGAAAAAATATCCAAACCTTACTTTAGAGCTAAAACTCTCTCCTTAATCTGCCTTATTTGTTGATAAATGATAAAATGTACTGGCTCAAAATTTATTAAAATTATTTTTTGTGCTCATTCTCTGCGGGTGGGATGATAGAGGATGAGCAAAATATCAAAGGGGACTACAAATACCCAACCAGATCGTCAGTTCCCAGAGTAGTGTTAACCAGAGTCCTGCGTCTTCTGAGGCCAGTGCTTCCCGGTGCAGCCTCCTGGGACTTTCTGGATTGTCTGACATTCCTCCCCTCTCTTCATCCAAAGATGTTGCCGAGGGGAAAGGGAGGAGAGGAAACAGGAAGACTGTGGCACAAGGTATGAAATATGCTTTTGGGAACTAGTAATTCCCTAGATAGGGCTTTTGCTTGGCTTCAAAATTTAGGATGCTTTTAGGCAGCTGATGGAGCCTGAGTTTCTACCATTAGAGCTGCATTTGTTTAGTAAGATTTCATTAATTTTTAAAAAATGGAAATACCTCTGGAACTCAAATGGCTACTGAACAGACATTGACCATAGGTAGTGGTGGGGACTCTGGCCAACTGGAGAACACGCCCCGTCCACAGGGGCAGCCACTGCTTGGCCAGGTGTTCATATGCAGGAATCTGGATCTTGTGAATTTTTCAGAAATCAGAAATCACCATTTTTATGAGAAATGTCATGATTTTTATAGTGTTAGTAACTTATCCCACATTAAAAACAAGAAGCAGCACAGAAAAGACCAAACAAAACACATCTGTGTGTTTTCCACAGGCCACCAGTTTGCAACCTTTGTGTCAGACTTTACCATTCACTAGGCACCCCATTCAGAAAGAATTTACCACATCATTTACTGGGGCAGGTTTTCAGGTAGAAGAGAGAGAGAGAGAGAGAGAGAGAGAGAGAGAGATATGCAGGGACACTCATACGGAGCTGTGAGTGGACAGAGAGTAGGGAAAGAAGGCTCACGTCTTTTCCTGAACTTTGATCTCTGGACCCTGAGGTGGGGCCACGGAGGTCGGGTCTGGAGAGGGACTCCATGGCCAGCCTTCTCCAGGGACTCCTGTGTCTCCACAGCAGGGTCTGACTCTTGAGGGGTCAAGTCTTTGGTCTACGGGGCCCTGGCAGCCACCTGGAGAGGCCTTTTGGTCACCTGTGGATCTGAATCGGATGCCTGGGGACGCTCAGCTGACCCCTTGAGGGCTGAGTCTGATGGCAGGGGAGGAAGGTCCGAGGCCTGGGGCCCTCCTTGCCGTGCCTGGTGAAGCAAGCCCTGGGGGGCCGCGGCCTGAGGCCAAGGGAGGCCGGGGAGCCTCATGAACAATTTTATAGTGATCAAGTCATGATAAATGAAGGAAAAGAGGGGAGAGAGGCAGCAGTGAAAACTCCATTCATAATTCTGAGTGGACTGGGCCATGGGCTGGAAAGCCTGGTGGTGGATACGCTGCTTTTCCAACAGGTGACTGTGAAAGAACCAGTCAAACCCTACTATTTCAAGATGCTATTAATTCCAAATGTGAACTTTCTGAGTCATTCTTTCGATATGGAATTTATAAGAGAATGTAAAAAATATTTTCAGGGGGAATGTGCAATATCCCTGAAAGACAAATAAATTTGTAACACATATTTACATAAAACAAAAGAAAGCCACTTATAGATAATTCTTTTCTAGTCATTGATTAAACAGATTTCCAAAGACTTCTACAAGGCAACATTCCTTAATCTTGCTTGTTATATATCTTTAAAAATGTTTGATAACATGTAGCACATCATTTTAGTTGTTTAGATGGATAGGACTTTTTACTGAATTCTAAACGTGGGACTTCATTGTGTCTCATTCAACCTGCTCACGGCGTTCCAGTGGGAGGCAAATGGGATTATCCCTCCACCCCCCATGACTTGGCTCCCCCTTTTTCCCCAAGCTTATCACAATGTCTCCTCTTCACTTTCCCCAAAGGACAGCCTTTCCTACCTCAGGGAAGAAGAGAGATACAGACTGCAACGATGGAGAGCTGGCAGATGTGCACAAGAAGCTGCCGTCCAGCGCTGGAGAGGACCGAGCCATGCTGCTAGGGTTCGCAATGATGGGCTTTTCAGTCCTAATGTTCTTCTTGCTTGGAACAACCATCCTAAAGCCTTTCATGCTCAGGTAAGAAACAGAAAGGAGATCCAGAGTTTCCAATTCAGATCAGATCCAGACCCAATAGTAAAGGAGGGGAGGCTGGCTTTGCTTTCTCCAGTCTCGGCCTACTTGATGCGGTCTAAGACAGGGAAGAAACAATACCCGGCGCTCTCTCAGTGCTGGGGGGAGCTGGGTGTGCAGGAGCAGGTGGCAAGAAAGTTGAAGATATTCCTTTGTCTCCCTCCACCCCGCATCTCATAATCCACATATAACAGAATCCACAGACTAGATACTCATTAGGTCATAAATTCTCCCTTTAAAATGGACATATTCCAGGGAAGGGTTAAAACTTGTGTGTGAGCACAATGAAAGTTTTTTGGGTCTGAGGTTTTTGAGTTTGACAATGTACACCTGGCACATAGTAGATGCTCAGTCAATATTAGTTCCTTTCTTTTCTTTTAGTTTCCTTATTAAACACATGTAATAATGCAATTGGCCCCCGAACAATATGGGTTTGAACTGTGCAGGGCCACATATACGTGCATTTTCTTCCACCTCTGTCACCCTTGAGACAGCAAAACCAACCCCCTCCCCTTCCTCCACCTATTCAACACGAAGACAGTGGGGATGAAGACCTTTACGATGATCCACTTCCACTTAATGAATAGTAAATGTATCCTCTCTTCCTTATAATTTTTGTTATTTTAGTGTATTATGGGGGTACAAGTGTTAAGTTTACTTATATTGCCCATGCCCCCTCCCCCCTAGAGTTAGAGCTTCAAGCATGTCCGTCCCCCAAACATTGCACATCTTACTCATTGTGGTCGTATACACTCATCCCCTCCTCCCCGCTCCCACCCTCCTGACACCCGATAAATATTACTCCTATATGTCCACTTAGGTGTTGATGTGTTAATACCAATTTGCTGGTGAGTACATGTGCCTTATAATTTTCTTAATAACATTTTCTTTTCTCTAGCTTTATTGCAACTGTTTATGTTATTAGCAAGGCTTCCTACTTTAATTTTCACTTTATAAATGAGAAAGCTGATGCTCAGAAAGGCCAAGTAACTTTCCCAAGGTCACATAGGCAGTAAGTAATATGCTTGTCATTCTGACACAAGATTCCTTGCCTCTTAATACCTAATGAAGTTTGCTGACATGAAAGGATGGGGATTTTGGATTTTGATTATAGCAGGAAAGGAGCTGTTTAATTTTGGAGCATGTCTCACACAACATGGAGCATTTGAGGGAGGTCAGGACAGAGTAGGGGCAAAGAAAGAGATGCTTTCGCTTTGGACAGCTGAAGAGTGACCGAAGGCAGGGTGGGGGGGGTGAGGTTGGGAAGAAGATGGCCTAGGAGTTCTCTGAGGGAAAGGAGTCATAGAAAAGGACATAGGTGGCCTATGTTGGTTATTTATTAGAGTCATCTTCTGCCAGTCCTGGGTTACCCTTGTTAGGGCAAAAATGTAGAGGTCACCATCCACTACAGCACTACCATCCTGCTATTAGGATTCCAGAAGAATCTTCTCTTTAGTATTAGCACGAGGAGAAACTGTGCTGCTCCTGATCGACCAGCTTACTTTTATTCAGTGGACAACAGGAATCATGTATCTGGTTGTGTTTATTGCTTTGGCTGCTAGGAAGCTCAGAGTCACATTTGTATCTTGGTTCTCATAACTATAAGGGATCTTTTGGTCATCAGGTTACATGTTTGTATGCACTCCTGACTTCACTTTAGCTTTCACTCCTCTTTTTCCTGTTACTCTACTTTCCTTATCTATTTTTTTTTTAAATATAGCTGCATTACATATGTCTATATCAGTTGAGTAAATATGTATGCATATGTGTGCTCCGGCAGATATTATTTTTTAAAATGTGATATATTTGGAAGATTTTTCTTTTTCTTTTTCTTTTCTTTTTTTTTTTTTTTGAGACAGAGTCTCACTTTTGTTGCCCAGGCTAGAGTGAGTGCCATGGCGTCAGCCTAGCTCACAGCAACCTCAAACTCCTGGCTCAAGCGATCCTCCTGCCTCAGCCTCCCAAGTAGCTGGGACTACAGGCATGTGCCACCATGCCCGGCTAATTTTTTGTATATATATTTTTAGTTGGTCAATTAATTTCTTTCTATTGTCTCGCTCAGGATGGTTTCGAACTCCCAACCTCGAGCAATCCGCCCGCCTCGGCCTCCCAGAGTGCTAGGATTACAGGCGTGAGCCACCGCGCCCGGCTCTTTTTTTTTTAATCAGGGTCTCTGGCTGGAGTGCAGTGGCATCATCATAGCTCACTGCAACCTCAAATTCCTAGGCTCAAGTGATCCTCCTGCCTCAGCCTCCTGAGTAGATGAGACTACAGGTACATGCCATCATGCCCAGCCAATTTTTCTACTTTTTGTAGAGACGGGGGTCTCACTATGTTGCTCAGGCTGGTCTCAAACTCCTAGCCTCAAGTGATCCTCCTGCCTTGGCCTCCCAAAGTGCTGGTACCGGTGTGAGCTACTGTACCCACTCTAGATTTGGGAGCTGTTTTGAAGATATCTTTTTTCTTTTTTTTCCTTTTCCTTTTCTTTTTAATGAATATTCCCAGAAGAGTTATATGAAGATACCCTTTTCCAAGCTGGCTCCAAACTTGCTCATATTTAAGTTTTACTTTTCCAAGCATTTCTGGAAATTGTTGAGTTAAAGTAATTAAGTGAATGCTTAAGAGTGGTACATTGTCATGTCTCTCTTGCCTTACAGTCTTGTGCCATCTCAGAGAGCAGTTTTACTCCATAAAAGGTGGCAGTTAAGAAGCCCTGCTTTTCTAACATTCTGACTTTAGAGCTTGCTAATCTAACTTCCTGTGTTTAAGGCAACAGCAAATAAACATAAAGAGCCACCTAGATGTGAGTGTGAGGGTGTATGAGGAGCTGGTTGCATACATTCAATCAAAGCATTTCTTCTTGCCTTCATTTACTTTATCTTGGACTTTTTCTCTAATTATTGCATACATACACATATATCCTTTCTCCTCAACCACCACAAGGTCTTCATGGCAGGAATTTTGTCTGCCACTTCTCATAGCACCTAGGACATTCTGTGTATGTAGCACATGTGCAAATTCTCAAGGAATGTTTTCCAAGTAAAATTTACTTCAGCACAACATTTATTGCGCATCTATTATGTGAGAGGTATTCTGCTTCATGCCTTGAGGAACATAAAGATGAATAGGCTGTAGCTCCTAATGTCAAGGAATTTACTGATAGCAAAAACATGGTAAGTATTCTAATGAGAGATTCCTTGTATGGTTTGCACTTGCCTCCTTGAAAGTAGAGGGGCACATGGAATTGTACCTTGTTACCAGATCTTCTGTAGGCTATGTTGACTAAGGTCCCTGTAGTTGGACTCCTTCCAAAGGCACATTTTCATCAGGACGAGGCAGTGGGTGCATCCTGAGATAATGAGGCAGGCAGGAGAGATGATATTTCTGAATGAGTGTGAACCTTAGTGGTTACAATACGTTGCTTAGAGTATGGTTCTCCAAATACCTGCATCTTAAATGCTGTTAAATATGCAGTTCCTGGGCCTCAACTCAGACCTATTGAAACAGAGTAGTTTCCGGGAGTGAAACCCTAAAATCCACATTTCAAAAAATTCTTCATTCTAACAGACTCATTCAGGTGATTCTGAAGTTTGAAAACCATTGATCTAAGCCTTGGTGTAGTGAGAAATATGCCAGTAGGATCAGAAGTGAGATGAAACTTGGCAACGTGCTGCCATTTACCCCGCCTCTTGTCCTCCCTGCTCCCTGATCATTATGCGCCCTCTGCAATGGCCCTACGTTGCACTGAAATACACGGATGCCTCTGGCTACCACATTGGAAATGTAGAACTGAATTTTCTAGTAGGTGAAGAACATTTCTCTTTCCATTTTGAAGCACTTGGAGAGAAGAATCGAACTGCACGACCATCCACACACACATCATGGAGGACTGGCTGGACTGCGCTTTCCCCTGTGGTGTGGATTGCCGCGGTCAGGGGACGTTCCCGTGTCTTCAGGTGTTTGTGAACCTCGCCCACTCAGGGCAGAGAGCTCTCCTACATTACAATGAAGAGGCTGTCCAGATAAACCCCAAGGTAATGGGAAGTTCATGTAACTAAAGAGTTCTTACTGCAACAACCCTTCCATGTGAGACTGTCCCTAGCAGGGTACAAAACCCAGGGCTGTCTCTAGGGATAAATCTATTTGCTTCTAGTGAACAATCTTATAGCGATCAAGTCAGAATAAATGAAGCTCAAAGCATTCTTGGAGAGAAATGGCATATATAGAAAGCAGAGGGATTATTCCAGCTTCACAACTTGGTGTCTGGATTTACAGGCTGAGCCAATGCGCAGTCATTTGCGGGCAGCCTTGCTTTCAGAGACCCTACTCTCCATCATTGAAAAGTGTTAAAATGTACTCACAGTCTACTATAAATCAAGCAATTTTTTTATCAAAGAAATTTAAAGGTTATTATAATTTTTATTTTAATAAGTTATATAACTGGGTCCTATCATTTACAGTTTATATACACCTAACTATAAAAGTTGTTAGTTGACATGTTACACTTTGTGTCTTTAATTGAGCACTAATTTCAATTTGAAGATTTCTGTTTTCTATTTTGGATGCAATAATTTTTGAGGTTTCAAACATTTTGTGGGCCCTTAGCACAGTATCTCAAATGTCTAACGGATATGTTAATAAACCTCAAGCTTTTTCGAAAAAGCCTCCAGCTGATAGAGGTCCCTTCTCCACTGGTTCTGTCTCCCAGGAACCAAAGCCCCAGTGGGGCTCCCTATCTGTGGACCTAGAGAGAAAGCCTCAATGAACCCCCCCCCCCTTAGGGAAAGGTTTGGTGGCAGGAGATCAAGACAAAGACAACAGAGGCACTACTAGGTGTTGAAAGCTCGTAGTAGGTAGGGCTCAATACGTTTTTGTTGAATGGACAAATGGATTTGTTGGGTTACTGTCCAGAAAGAGAACAAGGACCTGGATGTGGGAAGGAGTCATACTCCTTATGAAGTTGGTCACTGCCTTTCCTGCAATATGATATAGTCTAAGAATTCCTTCCCATATCCTTGCTTAGTGCTTGGAAATGGCCATTTCACTCTGGCCCTCCTGCTATGTAATATTTTACCATTTGCTACGATTGAAATTTCCCTCTGGAAGCTTCAGCCTGAAGCTATTTCAGAATCAGAACTGTTAAGTGCTTGGTATTGGTGACAGTGCCCTTTTTTCCTCCTCTATATTCCCAGTGCTTTTACACACCTAAGTGTCACCGAAATAGGAATGATTTGCTCAACAGTGCTCTGGACATAAAGGAATTCTTCGATCACAAAAATGGAACCCCCTTTTCATGCTTCTACAGTCCAGACAGCCAATCTGAAGATGTCATTCTTGTAAAAAAGTATGACCAAATGGTTATCTTCCACTGTTTATTTTGGCCTTCATTGACTCTGCTAGGTGGTGCCTTGATTGTTGGCATGGTAAGATTAACACAGCACCTGTCTTTACTGTGTGAAAAATATAGCACTGCAGTCAGAGATGAGGTAGGTGGCAAAGTACCCTATAGGAAACACCATCGATTCAAACTGTGAAGTGCCAGGAGGAGCAAAGGAAGGAGCAGAGAAATCATAAGATGGTGGCCAAATTAAAGTCCTGGCCTTCAAATACCTGGGGTTTCTGCAGTTGAAGACCTAACTATGCCTGCTTGTAAACTAATCATGTAAAGGGTAATTAAAATTAAGTATCGTGTGGGAAAAATATTTTAAAAACTCTTATTAATATATAATTAAAACCCTTGTTAATTATAATATATATTTTATTTATTCTATAAATACATACAAATCCACCAACTTTTATACTCCAAATCTCTTTCCGCATGAGCCAAAGAAGCACTTTTTGTTCCCACATGGCAAAATGAGATCAAGGTATTCTTTATCTAATTTTAGCTCTAGCTAGAATCTGTCAATACGGAAATAAACAATGAGAGTATCTAACCTATTGAACATTGAAGCATCAGCCTAATTCTGTGCAATATAGTTCATATTAAAACATTTCTCATAAAAAAAGTCATAGTGAAGAACAGTTCATTCACTGAAGGAAGGCAAGAGTCTGGTAGAAAATTTAAGAAAACATGGACTGATCACTGATCATGATAAAGGTGGAAAGCTGCTGCCTAGAAAATTCATTAAGTTTAGAGTTATTTGTATTTAACCTTGCCATGTACCATATAATTTTCCTAGTTAATTATACATATATAAGCTCATTTTACTCTTAGTGCACATTCTGGTAGGAATGGGAGAAATGGCCAGAAATGTGAAGGAAAAATGGACTGGATTTCAATATTCATATCAGATAATCCACACCACAGAAAAGTCCCACGTGAGTAGTCAACAATTGTCCATACTTTAATTAATGAATCAACCACGGTTATTAAGTAATAATGTCACAAGACTCTTTCAACAAGTGCTTTCCAGGTTAAATAAGCTGAATTTGAGTGAAAACAGTTTGTTCTGATTTTTCAATGTGTCTTCAAGTGTCTTTAAAATTTTACTAAAAAATCTAAAATTATGGACAATAGAGACTTTTGAAGCTACTTTCATATGTAGATGTAATCAAACCAAAAACTATGATTCTAAGTTAAATACCTTTTAGCAATTAATTTCAAGTTATAAGGTACCAAATAAGCTGCATAATTAGAACAGAACAATATTGACTTGACTAGTAATGAATAATCTTTCCCCTTTCTTGTGTGGAATGGAGGAGAAAACATGTGTCTCAGAGTAGGATTTATTAACTTTGTAGGCCATAATTACAACTTTGGTATATATCCTTGGGCCAATCAGCTAAACTGAGCCTCTCATTCTCATCTATAAAATAGATATAACCTCTACTTTCATGGGGTTATTTTAAGGAATAAACAAGGTAGAGTTAAGTGAAACACCCTGCTTAGTTCGTAGCATCTAGTAGAGGTGCTCAAAAATGTTAGTGCATAGATCAAAAAAAAAAAAATCTTGTGTTAAGTTGCAATATTCAGTCAGCATTGGTACTGTTTATTGGACAGCTGGTATCTATATACCTCTAGGCTAAGGGTAGGAGCTGCAAGAGCTGATTCCCCCTGCTTCTACCTCTGGTCTCTTGGCTAAATGTGATATTGCATTTAAGACCCAGAACTTGTTCCATGTTTTGAGTTGTCCTAAAAAAAAAAAAAAAAAAAGACCCAGAACTTGCTACTTAAAAGGTTGTGGTAAGTTATTTTGTATACCAAAGCCTTCTCTGTAATAAAATATATATGTATGCATGCACATTTTAAGTCATTCTTCAATTGAGATTCTACAGTTTTCTTAAATTAGGGGCACATCTCTATTTCATTTCTTAGTAAATTTGACTTCCACCTAACAAGATGCATTTGTTAGGATTTTTCTCCTAAAAAAATTCAAAACCACTTATTTGAAACCTAAAATGTGTGTTTCAATTAATATTTTTTTTTTTTTTTTGAGAGAGTCTCACTTTGTTGCCCAGGCTAGAGTAAGTGCCGTGGCGTCAGCCTAGCTCACAGCAACCTCCAACTCCTGGGCTCAAGCAATCCTCCTGCCTCAGCCTCCTGAGTAGCTGGGACTACAGGCATACGCCACCATGCCCGGCTAATTTTTTTTTTTTGAGACAGAGTCTCGCTTTGTTGTCCAGGCTAGAGTGAGTGCCGTGGCTTCAGCCTCGCTCACAGCAACCTCAAACTCCTGGGCTCGAGCGATCCTTCTGCCTCAGCCTCCCAAGTAGCTGGGACTACAGGCATGCGCCACCATGCCCGGCTAATTTTTTTTATATACATATCAGTTGGCCAATTAATTTCTTTCTATTTATAGTAGAGACGGGGTCTCGCTCTTGCTCAGGCTGGTTTGGAACTCCTGACCTTGAGCAATCCGCCCGCCTCAGCCTCCCAGAGAGCTAGGATTACAGGCGTGAGCCACCGCGCCCGGCCTAATTTTTTTTTTTTCTATATATATTAGTTGGCCAATTAATTTCTTTCTATTTTTAGTAGAGACGGGGTCTCGCTCTTGCTCAGGCTGGTTTCGAACTCCTGACCTTGAGCAATCCGCCCGCCTCGGGCCTCCCAGAGTGCTAGGATTACAGGCGTGAGCCACCGAGCCCGGCCAATTAATAGTTTTTCATTCAGATATCAGCTACTTGGTTCATTCCAGGAAAGAGAGACATTATCCTTGGAGAACAAAGTCAATTCAAAGTTGCTCAAACTATTTAGCAAATAAATAAAATTTAAGCAATGATTTGTTTAATTGCTCAGAAGTACTAAGTGATCAATGTCCATGTGTATTACTGGCCAAAGAAAAACCCACACTTACCTTTTGCCGTGTTCTTGCAGAGTTTCCAATAATGGAAAGCCAAACCAGTTTGCTTCTTCTAGCCTAACTTCACTTCTAGGTTCTGGTCTTTAAGTGACTTGAAAAAAAGTTCTGCTATGTATCCATATACATATATAACATACATATATGTATATATATATGTTTCTGCTTAAAATACAAGTAATTCTTTATGCTTAAAGGAAGTTAATATTTAAACATACATTTTTCTAATATTTCATCACTTTACCGAGGCAGAAGACCTTGCTTTTAAGGCATAATTGTTACAGATTTTCAATCAAGTATTCTTAGTCATTATTGAAAAGAATTCAAAGCCAGCTAAATTTTGATTATAGCAACACTGATTTGCTTTTCAAGAGAAATGGCAAAATAGAATTACTGGTTTTTTGTTTATATAGTACACTAAGGATTGTTTAGACACAAGTCAAAGTAATATATATATATATTTTTTAATAAACAGCGTGATGTTACAGACTGCAAAGTTAAAGAAAAGCAGACATTGACAATTTCTGATGAGCACAAACAAAAGTGCAGTCACAGGCCAAACTTCTTGCTAGGAAAAGCAAGACTGGGAAGAGGTCTTAAATTTAGTGATACTGTATTATTCTATATTCTCAATATAATAACACATGCATCTTGCTGTGTCACATTCTTTTTGGGCCATCATTAAAAGAACATTAAAAACATTTTTCTTCTAACTAATGCAGTATACCACAGGACTTCAATTCATTGAATGACGAAATATAGAGAAATAGAATTGCTACAATTATAGGGACAAAAAAGGGTGGTTCAAACCCCTTGTTGAAGCTTCCAAAGTAAACATTTGATGTGTTAGTAAGTAGTCTTCTTTTGGTAGTGTAACATTCCCCAAGATATTAAAGTGTTGTTATGCTCCAAAAGGATATATTTTTTAGATTTTATTCAATCCAATTAAGTCTGAGGACTGAATCACACTGAAAGCATTTAACTTCATTTGAAACTTGGGTTCCATAGCTGAAAACATTTGTAGAAATCAGCTGAAGACCAAGTCTTCCCACCACTCTTAATTGAATCTAATAAGGGGCTTTTTGTTATGAAATCAATAGATAATGACCACATTTAGAAATTCATATTAGAATTAAGTTTAGTCATTATATTTTAATATAAAACAATGAAGGTTTTCTGCTTCCTTGCTACTCTAGAAAAATTAACAAAAATAGGTATACCTAAAAATATACATGGTTCTTAGCATAACCACAAAATAATTGTAGTGACAGATTATATAAGGTTGCAGATAGATTCATAGACTTAAATGGTTTGCAAAATGCATTTAAAAACCTTTTCTGTACTTACCTATATGAGGAATGGAGTATACTGTTGGTAGTGAAAATCATTTACCTAACTACACTATATGTACAGAGGACTAATTTTTACTTTTTTTCTCCACTAAAACTCTTATATGTAGTTGTGTAAAAATTAAGCCAGAAATTTCCTTATGGCTCACACCTGTCACTTTATGCTAACTAGCAGGGATAAAATATTAACATACCTAAAACCAAGCAAAAGGAATGTACAGCACTAATAAAAAGGAAGTGTAAAACCTTAATCAAGTGTAATACTTGAATGAAATGTTTATTTAAAAACTAACATCCCAACTTGGGAGACTGCTAATAAATTCTAAACTCTTCTGAATTTTAGAACCTTGGTATTTGTTTATATCTTTTATAAAAGATGCCTCTTGACCAGGCCTAGCAAGCAGTGTGTATACAAATAGAAATGTGCAAGTATACACACAACAAATGCACTAAAATAATAGAGAAAAGAGAACAAAATGAATTTCAGATGCCAAATTCAAGAGCTTAGTACCATGAACTTCCTCACACTAGAGCATTTTCCAAATGGCTGTAACAATGATTACATTTTAGCCAAATTTTTTTCTTAATGTCTTCTATACCATTAAAAACAAGGCATGCCAATGCTGACTTTATAAATTTAAAATACAATGATCTGCAAAATTTCTGTAATATCAGAGCCTGAAGCAATGACTGTGAGATTTATATTTTTCCCTATTAACCTTCTGAGGTAGAGTTATCCGATTTTATCAGGACCACAGTTATCTTGAGCTAAACCCCATAATCTTTTCAGAGAGTGAAAATAAAGTTTTAAAGAAGAAAACAAAAACAGGCTTCCCAGGCCATGGCACATAAGAGATATTTACAATTTTTAATGTAATAATTAAAAATGGTTTTGTTTGTATTTTCAAAAACAGCCCAGCTGTATTATTCTTTCACCAAGAATGATTATCTGATGATGCTGTCAGTGCTGAATTTTACAGTTTAGTTTTCACAATCCTATCCTTGATGAAGAGTTAATTCTCTCACAGTATACACAATATACTCTCACAACTTTCAGCCTTCTCTTGGACATGCCCCATCTGAGCTGCGTGGATATAAAGAATGTAATGCATTCAAACGAGTGAATCCTCCTTTTTCTGCCCCCACCCTTCACATTCTGCTCTTCTCAAAAACATCTGAAGTATGAAAGTTGTCTTTAAATAGTAGAAGCACCACAATCTATTAACACCACATATTATCTTTAAACTGAAATATTTTAGTGATGTCTTGGACATCAAAATAATTTTTTAAGGTGGACTGAGTATGTGGGTCCAGCCCACGTCTGCAGTTTGTGCAGACACGGAAACAAGAGGAACTTAAAATATTCAGGAACAGTTAACAGGCTAACTTTAAAATGCTGCTGGAAATTAAATTTCTTCAGAGTTGGCAAGCATGGGCTATTGATCAAAATATGAATTAAAAAGATTTACAAAATCATTAAGGAAAGAAACAAACCAAAATTTATGTGCTGTGAAATTTCCATGGTGCCTTTTAAATAGGCTGCTCACAATTATTTTTTATAATGCCAAATCATTCAGTTTTTGATGGAAAAAAGAATACAGATGGACTGTGTTTTACCTATGTAAAAATCACTAATCCATTTAAAATAAAATCCAAGAGGGTATATACAATCTAATCAAGTCATCATTTTCCTGATTAATAAGAACTACACTTTACACAAAATACTTTATCAGCAGCTGTTTTCATCAAAAAAACCAATAATTTCACAGTTGAAAAAGTTACACATTAAAATATTTTACAATTCATTATATATTCACCAGGTTCCCATTTCCCAATGGGCTTTTAATATAAAGCAGAATAGAAGGGAAAACCTCAAAGTTGATCACCTTGACACTAAGTTTTACATAGGACACTAAGAACCACAAAAAACTTAGGTTCTATCATAAAATAGCAACCAAATTCCATTCTTCTTTTAAAAATCCAATTAGAAATATCTTTTTTAAAAAACCAAATTCTACAATAAGATTAACAGATTTCAAATTAACAACAATCTAAAAATCTTCAAAATAAATGTTTTTGTATAGCTGAGAATATGGTAAAAAGTTAAAGCATGATTTTCACAGTTTTTTCTTGCCACCATGTGTTTAAAATTAGGTTTCACTTTCTTTAGACATTTTTCTTTTCTCCAAAATATTTCTCAAGTGACCCAATGAAGGAATATTTCTCAAGTGACCCAATGAAACTGCAGAGCCAATAGTCAGTTACACCATATTCACTGACAATGACGGTTGGCTACAGGAACTGTCCAATCCATGGGAACTGATCTCTGATACTGAAATAACTAGAAGTGGCTATGGTCATTGCTGGCTTGAAACAGATCCTAGTCATCTATGTAGCATTTAACTCAATTTTTGGTTATTTGACTTTCTGAGCATTACCTGCCCCTTATTTCTTTCTTAGATCACTTCATCTATATTCTTTATAGAATTTGTCTACACTTCAAATAATATTTGGCTGTAATAATTCTTCAAAATAAACGTAAATGATAAAATAAGCTATGTGGACTGTATGTTTTAATGGTGGAGAGGTCTTGGGAGAAGGGGACACAACTATCTGGAATGATGTGAAAATAAATGCAAAACTTACATAAATTTTGAGCAAGGAGGCTCAAGGCTTTTTGGCACTCGGGTAAAACACAGTTCTCTGTTAAATCTTCAGTTTCCACCACAAAAGTTTTAGATTTGTACCATTTTGCTGAGTTTTTCCTATAATCAGTCCCTGATGTAGAAAAGACTGGGATATTAGTATATATCAACTGTATATATTTAAATGACACAAAATATTAATTGTGAAATTTTAGTTAAGTTATGAAATGTTCTATAATTGCAAAAAAAAATCGATCTGGTTTCCTGCTTAAAACAGAATTTAAATTCTGCTTAACTATTCCAAGACTGTTTACAGAAATAAGTTCCCTTAATCTTCAAATTTATTTTTCTTGTTGGAAATATTATATACATGCTTTAGTGAAGTACCTAAATCTCCAATAATTATGCCCTTTAAGGGTTCTAAAATAGCCAGATATTAAGAGTATTTGTATTAGAGTCCCTTGTTCACTATTCAAGACTTCTATTATAGGTAACAGATTTCATAAATGAATATTTTTAAAGTGATGCTGTTTTACTAGAGTATACAATGTTCACTCTTTATAAAGCTGCTTTCCAATAATATGCCTAATCTAGAAAACTGTCAGTAAACTATTGCACTTTTTTTGGTGTGGCACCTGGACATTTGCTAAAGCTAATTTCCTAGGACATTAATCATTCATTTCAAATACTGAATAAAATATCAGATTCTAGAGTGATCACTAGCACTAGCCCCTACATTTGGGTTGATGTTTTTCAAAGTGTTTAAGAATGTGTCCTGTGCTTGAATGACATTTAATAAAGTTGGAGAGTGAGCCCTGACTACTTGGAAATGGGACATGATGTTAATTAAAATGGTTTGATGTCCTATTTTTATTTTTGAGATATGGATAAATAGCTTAAAAAGGTAAAAAGTTTATGGTTTCTATTCCCCCATATTATTATTATTCATGAGCATACCAGGAAGATAGTCTAAATTGTAGACTTAATCTTGGTAATGAATTTCATATGACTGAGCCATTCTCAACTATAGAAGAAGATGAAAGAAGGGGGATTCATATGAAAACAAAGAAATAAAAAGAAAGAGGATGAAGTTTAATCTGTTTTAAGTAGTTATATACTGGTTATTGACATAAAAAAGGGATAGTGCCTGAGCCTCATCTATAGACCAAGAGAAAAGCTGACCATGCTGCTACAAATAATAAAAAATTTGGGGTGCAAAAAAATGCATGACTATGGGACAGATCATGTAAATAAAGAATATATATTAATGATAGTTTCTATAATATAAATAGCCTTTAATAAAAAAAATAATCTTTTTAATAACATTAATACTTCTATTTTCTGGAAAACATGCATGAAAAATGTATTCAGTTCAATTGCAAAAGGAGGAAAAAAATCAACTTAAGGTGAATACTGTACAATTTTGGAATAAGAACTATTCCTGCTCATTCTTTTTCTATGATGATTTTTTTTTTTTTTTTTTACTTTGTGGGAACCCAGAATTTCCCTGGGAAATAAGAATCAGATCCTTGTCAATACTGTCCAGAAAAAAACCCAAAAATACCATCTTATAACAGGTCTCATTTGTGACTGCTTCCAAAACTGTGCAGATAAAACCCCAAATTGTCAAGACATTTGATTTATTAAAAAGAAAAAGTCTCTGGTGAAATCTCAAGAGTCCCTTCCACCCCAAGCATTTTTCTTCATTAAACAAGGAGTCAAAAAACCCACTTCAAACTATAAATTGAACAGCAATGGAAAATAAAAAAAATTTCATTCTTTTCCAATCTTATGTAATTTAACATAAACTCCAGTTTACTTAGACCTAATGCAATAACAGCCTTTGTTATGTCCACATTTCAAAACATAGAACATTTTTAAGACAAAAAAAGAACATTCTTTTTCCTTCTCCATCATGTCTATATATTTTGGGGATTTTTGTCATGTTTTGTTTTGTAAAAAAAGATACAAACAATCTTCAAAGTTTACCTTTTTGGACTTAAGGCATAACATGAAATTGCGCATTATTCTAAAGCTTAATTTTGAAATGAACTAGTTTAAGTGCTATCAAACCCTGTTTGCGTTTACATTATTTAAATTATATAGTATTTTATTTCTGTTCTCGCTGTAAATTCTAATGCTGTTCATGGATTGTGCAATTCCTATGCAATCAGTCTTTGCCTGTTGACAGTTATTAACAGTGCAGTGTAGAATCCAGATAGTGAGCTTTCAGTTTCTCAGTTATCATTTCAGTTCAATGCATGCTGCTTAATTGTGTGGAAGATCCAATCCATTTTTGTTGTCCAGCCACCATGATGTGCATCATTCATTTGTTTCATAAAATATTCCAAAGCCTCTTGCTCAGTTTTATCTAAGGCTAGAGTCTTTCGAATATATGCAATGTCATCAAAAGATTGTAGTTCTGGCATTCCAGAGCCAAGCATCATTGAGAAAAGATTTATGAAGAGATTGGCATGCTGCCGAATAGCTAGGTAAGCCTTGTAACACATCTCCTGAAACCTATAAGTAATAAGAACAGTTTGGTCAGTATGGAGCAAATGGTGTCAGGTCTTTGCTCAAATGGCACATAATTACAAAGGCTTCCTTAGACAAAGCTATAAAAAAATAGTATTTCTTTCCTACTCCCCTTGTCAATACTTTTCTATTCCCTTCACCCTACTAGAATGTAAACTCCATGGGAATAAGGACTTTTTTTGTGGCTTTATCACCAGCACCTAGAACAATGTCTAACATATCAGGAGTTTAATAAGCACTTATTAAATGTAGAATACTAAAGCCTTTAAAGCTTAGACTAGTGTCAGGACTAAGTTACAGATAAAGCAGAATTTTGTAAAAGGTTTCCAAAAGTATTTTAAGGTCTAAGATAGAATAATGATATACCATAAGGCGATAAAAAAAATTATGACTAAACATGGTAATTACAGTTGACTTTCCTCAAACTGTATGACTAAACAATGTTGTTTTAAGCATTATACATTATTTGTCAAATATAGAGAGGGTAGAATCCAACTATTTAAAAAACAGTAAAGAAAAACATTTAATGTGTTATGAAGTTTAAGGATTACTTTTTTTTAGGGCTTAATTAGCTCAATAAATTATTATTTTTTGAGACAGGTTCTCACTCTGTTGTTTAGGCTAGAGTGCAGTGGTGTCATCATAGCTCACTGCAACCTCAAACTCCTTGGCCTCCAGTGATCCTCCTGCCTCAGCCTCCCAAATAGTTGGGACTACAGCAGTGTACTACCATACCCAGCTAATTTTTCCATTTTTTGTAGAAATGGAGTCTCACTACATGGCTCAGGCTGGTCTTAAACTCCTGGCCTTAAATGATACTCCCACCTTGGCTTCCCAAAGTGCTAGGATTACAGGCAATAAATTAAACTGGTTTCCCCTTTCCATTTTTCTTCACAGTACCACATAAATAAGTAAATAAATAAATATTAATAAAAACATTTAAATAGTTTTTGCTTAAGTGGTAATATAACATCTATTATTTTAAAGTTGCTTGCAAAACATCAATTATTTATAATAGAGAAGCAAGAATTCTTTATTATGTGCTTTTGATTTCTTGAGCTTACCTCTCAAATTCTCTTGTCTTTGTGCATTCTTGGGCTCCTTTACTAATCACTATTAAGAAATCTTGTGTCAAAACAAAGGGCACACGTTCTCGTTTATAACCAAATTTTTTCTTCTTGTGATCCAAAAAGTGTCCAAAATCTATATGAAACAGCTTTCAAAAATAAGACATTATGTTATAGTTTGACACAGGCAGACATACAATATCTTAAATTAATACATTTAGTTTAAGAACACCAAAACATTTTAAAGAGAGAAAGCCATTACTTGTCCATCATCTTTCACCATGATGTTACTATTGTGACGGTCTCCAATCCCCAAAATGAAGGTAGCTACACAATATCCAGCACATGAACGTGTAAACAGGTCAATGGCTGCATCATATCTAGAAAGAAGAAACAAATACCTTAAGAGTGGTGTGGAAATATAGAGTGATGCAGGCCAAACTGGGAAAAGATGGTCTAAGTGTCTATTTAAACAATAACAACAATCAGTGACATTATGGAAGGAGGTAATTATGTTCAAAGACCTGAGGAATTTGGAGATTCTGAAGTTTTCAAGGGTTTCTAAGGAAATTTCTAGATGCTCCCTGACCAAAGCATAATTGAAAAAATAAGATGTGAAAAGTGAAAAAATACTTATGTCATTAAAATTCACTTTTTCTAATCATTTTAATAATGAATTAGAAATAAAATTTTGATTACATATCATGAGTTCTAAGGATAAAAAATAAAATCTTGAATATGCAATGATAATTTTTAAAAAAAGAACATGCAATAGTAACACATTTTACATACAGAAGTTGAATGTACAGGATTTTACCAAATTATTAGCAATTCTGATCATTTAAGCACAATAACCTCAAATATTTCAAAGGTTGAACATCCTTTTTCCCAATGTAAGTACAACTGTTTTCTCTGGTCTATTTTAGAGGAATACACAACCACTAAAAGACTCATCTAATAAAAACTTAAATTAACATAGGAAGAAAGAATAAGACTCACATTTCTCCTTTATTCTTGTCTTTTAGCCACTGATGTAGTGTGTGGCTGTTGAACTGCAATGCGCCTTTCAGGCCGCCTTTGCACTGAATTTGCATAATAGTGTGAGAATTTCTCACCACCTCAATAAGTCCCACACAGTCACCGATTGACAGACAACCGTAAGGTAACATTCTGAAAAAGGAGCAACACATTTACAATTAAATGATGGAATTTTAAAATAGTAAGTATTTTAATAGGCTAAAACATGAATGTTTCATTTATAAATCTGTCATGCATGACCTTCAATGCCTTAATCCAATTTAATTTTCTTTTGTATAGTGACAAACATATTCCTTAAAAAATCCTCAAAATTATCTGCCATCATTTATATTACAACCTTCAACTGAGAAAGTACTTCATTGTATATTCAAAAAGGACTATTTAATTGATATCTAAATAAAATTGCAGGGTAGCAGTTCTCAAATTTTTGGTCTTGGAACTCTTTTATACTTACAAAATTACTGAGGACCCCAAAGAGCCTTTATTTATGTGGATTACACCCACTGATATTAGACATTAAAACAGAAAAAACAAAAATTTAAAATATTTATTAATTAATTTTTAAAACAACAAACTATGACATGTTAATAGAAATAACATCTTTTTTTTTTTTGAGAGAGGGTCTCATTCTGTTGACCAGGCTAGGGTGCAGTAGCATTATAGTTCAACCTCAAACTTCTAGGCTCAAGCCATCTTCCTGCCTCAGCATCCTGAGTGTCTGGGACTACAGGCATGTGTCACCACACCCAGCTAATTTTTCTATATTTTTATAGAGATGGAGTCTTGCTATGTGGCTCAGGCTGGTTTTGAACTCCTGGCCTTAAGCAATCCTTCTGCTTCAGCCTCCCAAAGTACTGGGATTACAGGTGTGAACCACCGTGCTTGGCCTAAATAACATCTTTTATGAAACGGAAAACCCCTATATTAAAAAAAAAAAAAGCAAATTAGTGAGAAAAGTGATACTCTTTCACTTTAAATTTTTAAAAATGTCTGGCTTTATAGCACCCAGCTAGGTTCTCATATGCTTCTCTATCCATTCCAATGCAATGTTTTAACTGAAGTATATAAAGAAAATCTAGCCTTATACAGATTTTCATATTGTAATAGCTTTTTATTTTTTTTGAGTCTCACTCTGTTGCCCAGGCTAGAGTGCCATGGCATCAGCTTAGCTCACAGCAACCTCAAACTCCTGGGCTCCAGAAATCCGTCTGCCTCAGCCTCCCAAGTAGCTGGGACTACAGGCATGTGCCACCATGGCCAGCTAATTTTTCTATATATTTTTAGTTGTCCAGCTAATTTCTTTCTATTTTTAGTAGAGGTGGGGTCTCGCTCTTGCTCAGGCTGGTTTTGAACTCCTGACCTCGAGCAATCTGCCTGCCTCTGACTCCCAGAGTGCTAGGATTACAGGCGTGAGCCACTGCACCCGGCCTGTAGTCTCTTCATATAATTGCAGATATTTTTGACAAGGTTTCAAAATTTGACAATAGTTTCTCAAGTTGCAATATGGAATATGAAACCATATCAATAATCTTTGTGTACTCTGTTATATTAAAATCAATTTCTCTATCTTGCCTTTGAATGGATCTTTTCCCCATATATGACTTTACATTATCCTGCATTGGTCATTTGTACATCTTCCAAATGTTGATATTTTTCATTATACCATACTAAAAAATCAAAACTGTTAACATTACCAAAATTTCATCAGAGAAGTCTTAAGTTTGGGGATGCTGTTATGTTCAGTGGCAGATATAAGTTTTTCAAAATTCTAATTTTTGCTTGAAAGCTCAAATTGTCTCATTGGCAATAAATACTGTCACAGTTGTTTTCTTTTAAGAGACAGGCACATATTGTTCATTTTCAAGAAAATGTCTGCCAAATATCCATGTCTGAATAACCATAGCTTGCCTATTAGTTATTTTTTAAGCAAAAAATGGTGTTCCATGAAAAAAGCAGCTAGTTCAGCTCACAACTCAATCCCACAAATGCTTCTGTTGATACAACGACCCTGAGTGGGGATCTTGCGCAAATGTTTTTAGAGTACTATCCGTTTCATCACACAGAATATCAAATGGGACATGTAGTAAATAAAGGGCGGAGATGTGAGAATTTAAAGAGACAATGAAAAAAAAGCACCTACCATCCAAACTGGCACACAAGTACTTACAGTATGGTTTTCCTTGCTCTGTGGTCTCATAAGCTACTGTTCATTCTTTCTACCTTCCTTTACTTAAGTTCCTAAAACAGTCTACACTTATTTTCATTTTCTTACTTGATTACTTGTAGCCTAGCTTCTATGCCTACCACTCTAGTGAGTAAACTCTTTGTAAAGCTAACCACGAGTCATCAAATCCAAGGGCTTTTCCTAGATCTTATTCTCTTAAACCCCTTGAAGAATTTGGTACTACAAATTGTTTGTGAATCCCTCCCCTCTTTTGGGTTCTGTGAATCACTTACTCTGATACTTGTGCTCCTTTGACCATTTCTCTTATAGAATCTTTTCTTCTACCTGCCCTGGTAAATACAGAAATTTCTTAAGGTTGTGCTCCTGCTCATTCTATCTTATTTTGTTTTCATTTTATTACTGTTGAGAATGCTCATAGATTAAAGAGTCAAACTGTCTTCTAAATCGTCTTATATAAAAAACAGAGTTAGACTATAGAGTCTGAATTACAGTTTTGCCAAGTATAAATAAATATGCTGCTATGATTTGAACTTAAGTACTTTCTATTTAAAATTAAACTTCAAATAAAATTTTTTAGCTAAATTTACTTAAGTTAAAAAATATTCAGAAAATATTATAAGACTAAAAAACTCTTAATATTTCTAATGATCTTGCTTAACTTCAGATGCTTTTTTGCACAGTCACTAATTTACAATTAAATTTTGTAATAATAACTAATAACTAGAGTTATATAGTTAAATCCCTTACTCTTTATAGTTGTACAGTCTTTTTTACACTCTATTCTGCTGGAGGAGGTGGGAGTAGTGGCATGTGGATCTCTTACAACACAGGAAATTATACCAAAAAAGGAAACTTAACTCATAAAAGATTAATTGTCTTTGGAAAGCAGCAGAGATTAAGCAATGTATTAGGAGTTAAGAATTTGAAGTTGATTAATTTTGTGTTTAGCTGGTTACATGAAATGTCCATTTTCTTCCTTGCAATAAAGGGGTACTGTATTTGTCACTGATACAATTTTTGTATACTAGCTACTTAATCTATAAAAGGCATGCCGATTAAGCCCTTGCCTGGTATTACTCGCTATTTCTACCTAATCTACGCAGTTGTTGCAGTTAGATTTGACTCTTATACCCACTTATAGACAAAAGTACTTTCAGAGAGGGTAGCTTTTGTGTAAATAACTATGAATTTGCATAGAGATAAGTCAGAGAAAGAAAAAGTACTGGAAGCAACAATGACTAGAAGATGAAGTATGACAAAATCTTGGAGATAATACTGATAACTGTGAGAAGTTGGGCAGGAACCAACAGACTGATAAAAACTTTAAGACTGTTGATTTCATGAATTTTGCTGTAAAACTGATTCAAGATTAGAGGATTTATAAAGCTTTAGAAAATTTATACTATGAAACTTTCTTTTAAACTCAACTTCTGAATGAAAACAGAGTCCTTTTGTGTCTCCTATGTCTTGTTCCTAATGGTGAACACTCCAAAGGCAGTTGCAGAGTCTCAACTAGCTTATTAGAGATAATTCTTCTTACTTAGCTAAATCTCATTAACTATTCTAGCTAAGTAAGAGGACAAATTAAAGTACCATACATAGCATAATGAACTATTGTTAATCACTACTGTGTACGTTTCTTTACAGATATATGCCTCTATAAGCTTCTATAATTAATATTTATTAATAGTTTACTCTTTCAGGATAACTTTCTGAAGTTACAACTTTCTAAGTATGGCAGTACGGTTGCCTTATTAGTTACCTACCGAAGATCAAGACCTTGATTTTGCCAGATATTTTCCATAATGCGAATAATTTGAAGTGTTAGCATATCTTGTCGTAAATCTGAAATTCAAATAATATGTATCACCACTTAATACCACAAATGCAAATTTGAGAATCATGCCATAAAATTGTTTTCAAATGGAAAACAAATAGCTATATTTACTCTTCAAAAGAATCTATAAGAAAGCAATATTCTTATTCTTTAATTCACTTCTAAAGTCTCTGCATAAGCATGTCTGTGTAACAGTATAAGTGAGCAAGCATTTCATAAAATTTTAAATTAAAATGGTTCAAGTATTTATTTTTCTGAATCCTTAAATTTGAACATGTTTATATTAAAATACTGAGAACAACAGAATTCATTGCTGAAATGTCATTTCCTATTGGAAACCGATCCATGATCCTTCCCCTCTCCCCACATAACCTGTTCTCCAAATAAATTAGGACCTTCTTTTATATGGTTCCTTAGCAGACTGCATTTTTCCTTTGTACCATGGTTGTAATTTTATTTTTAGAATTATTAGTTTAATGTCCCTCTTTTCCTTGTTATACTGTGAACTCCACAAGGGCAGAGATTTCTGCTTTGTTTATTGCTACAATCCCAGGGCCTCGCACACAGAATGTTTATGGAATGAATGGATGCTCACACAGCTAAGCAAATGATAATTAGAGACTGATTTCAAGACTTCTGACTCTAAACCTAGTACTTCTTTTCTTTTCAATGATTAAATATGTATACTGCAAAGGCTAAGGCATTTGCTTAATATTATATACTTTACCACGTGTATGTGTTCCTTAAATGGCTTTCAATAGTCTTCATGGTTCATAAATATCCTGTGTATAAAAAGATAGCTAAATTCATGCATCATAAGCTCATTGATGTTCTTCCTTACCATCCCCATTTTTAAAGATGATCTCATTGTTCTGAAACAGCAACTCTGACATGATGTCTGGGTTCTCCCAATTCAACCACAGTGGCCTTTTTGCAGAGGACATAATTCGACACTCTTCAAGCCTTTAAAATAGTTAAAAACTTTACTAAGTACCTTAGCTTTGTCATTTTATTTATCCTCAAATTTATTTTAAAATACATATACAGTATAGGTTTTTGAAATGTTATAAAGATTTAAAACTTTCGCCTCAATTTTTATTTAGAAATTCATGTTTAAGGAGTATAAAGAAAAAAATGAAGCTTTAATTATTTTAATAATTATAATATGAATTTTCAATAGAGATATATCATTAGTTTTACAGATATTACATTCTATTTTTTATCATATGATACCAGAAATCCGGCCATAGAAGGTTTTAACTTTTATTATTAAGTAGTAAAAACTCATTCTGAATAAATGCAGTTCTGAACTTAAGACAATTTACTACTCCTATTTTGAGGTTAAGAGAATGAGAGAATAAAGCCTATATAATTGGAGATTCTAATTATAAAAGATATTTTGGCTTTTCCTCAGATTTTATCCAGAATAATTTGAAGTATTATAAAAGGCACTTATTTAAATGTCAGTAAAACTCCCAAGAAAGTACTTACCTGAGATTTCCTAATTGATGAGCAGGGTTTAGAGGAGATAGAAAGCCCTGTAGAGCATCCATGAAATCTGGTCGCCTCATTTGCTCAACTAAAAACTTCATCTGTACCTGGTAAAAAAGGATAATGATGGTAAGAAACTGATTTCATAAAAACTAACTGCTAATCTCTGTTACACACTGGAACCTCAGTATTGCCTATGTAGTCTTTGAATCCATATCCTAGACTGGCTGCAATCTAAAGGGTTTCTACAACACAGAGCAGCGTAACTCACGGAGAGAGGCAAGTGTTGGCAGCACTGTAAGCCTTCCTGTAGGAAGGTGAACTCTGCTTGCTGACATTTGGCTCTACAGCAGGGTTGGTCAAGTATGGCCTGCGGGGGTTAGCTGCCAGTTTTTGTAAATCAAGGTGTATTAGAATATGGCTATGCCTATCCATTACATAGTGGCTGCTTTCACACTAGAACAGTGTAGTTGAGTAGTTAAGACAGAGACCACATGGCTTGCAAAGTCTAAAATATTTTCTATCTGGCCCTTAAAGAAAAAATTTGCTGATCCATGTTCTACAGGAAAAACTAAGGAGACTATGCTATCTTAGCTTAATAACCTTACTTTTAGGCTTTTCAGAAAATACCACAGTCACACTTTCTGTTGGGTAAAAAAGATCTAGTGAGGCTACAAGAAACTGTTGGGAAAAGGACTTGTAGAAACATTTGTTATGTGGAGTTTCACATTATACTTAGGTTCTGGTATATAGCTATAAAGAAATATCCCTTTTTAATCAATTCAAACCAGAACCCAGACTGCTGAGCTATCATGCAGTATCTGGCATTTTATTTTAGGAATCCTCCATCTACTGAAAATATAGTATGTGAGTGGGGGAGGGGGGAAGAGGTTAGGAGCTACTAATTCATAATAAATTAATTTTCATGCTGAAATTTTAGTAATAAAATTTTTTTCTTCTTGCTATATATAAACGAATAGCTAGAAAATCTAGTCATTTTTGACTAGGTACCTCTTTTTCATCCCTGACTAGGTAGCTCTTGTTCATGTAAAGGCATTTCTTTTTATATCACTGACATCCCTAATGTTAGCACAGTGCTTCATATGCTTTATTATAACTCATTGTTATGATAAAACACAAAACCACTGAAAGTAACTGCTTTTATTTTGATGACTGCAATTGTAGTTCCCTATCAAAATCTCATTTCAGCTAGTAATGATTTGAGTAATGAATTTCATGTTCTTAATTAATCCACTGTATCATAGCCAATTCGTGATATGAAAACTCTAGCTTAGAAGAAATGCCTATACAGATGGTCTCTGACTTACTTTTTTTTTTTTGAGACAGAGTCTCACTTTGTTGCCCAGGCTAGAGTGAGTGCCGTGGCATCAGCTTCGCTCACAGCAACCTCAAACTCCTGGACTCAAGCAATCCTGCTGCCTCAGCCTCCCGAGTAGCTGAGACTACAGGCATGCGCCACCATGCCTGGCTTATTTTTTCAATATATATATTAGTTGGCCAATTAATTTCTTTCTATTTATAGTAGAGACGGGGTCTCGCTCTTGCCCAGGCTGGTTTCGAACTCCTGACCTGGAGCAACCTGCCTGCCTCGGCCTCCCAGAGTGTTAGGATTACAAGCGTGAGCCACCCTGCCCGGCCCCTGACTTACTTTTGATTTATGATTTTTCAACTTTACCATGATGTGAAAGTGATATGCATTCAGTAGAAACCATACTTTGAATTTTGATTTCTTCCTGGGCTAGCACTATACAATATTCTCGTGTGACGCTGGGCTGCTGCTCCCGGTCAGCCATGAGAATCACAAGGTATATAACTTATACTCTACAGTGTACTGTGCTGCCAGCATCCCATCATGTCTACAAATGGCCATTTTTGACTTAAGATATTTTCCATTTATGATGTGTTTCTGATGTGAATGTAACCCTAACCCTATCGTAAGTCAAGGAGCATGTATATTCACAAATGTACCTAATATCTAGTTCTTTTTTCTTTTTTCTTTTTTTTTTTTTTTTTTTTTATTGAGACAGAGTCTCGCTTTGTTGCCCAGGCTAGAGTGAGTGCCATGGCGTCAGCCTAGCTCACAGCAACCTCAAACTCCTGGGCTCAAGTATCCTCCTGCCTCAGCCTCCCGAGTAGCTGGGACTACAGGCATGCGCCACCATGCCCAGCTAATTTTTTATATATATATTAGTTGGCCAATTAATTTTTTTTTCTATTTATAGTAGAGACGGGGTCTCGCTCTTGCTCAGGCTGGTTTCGAACTCCTGACCTCGAGCAATCCGCCCGCCTCGGCCTCCCAGAGTGCTAGGATTACAGGCGTGAGCCACCGCGCCCGGCTTAGTTCTTTTTTCTTAGCTCAGTTACAATATAATAAATTTTGTTCTTTCAAGGCAGTTTAGTCCTCTCTTGCCCATAAATTCCAACATTAGAAACAGTACAATTATTTCTAGTATTCTACATTTGAACTTATATACCACAACTTCAAAAAAAATCAACTCAGTCACACACTATATGACATTTGGATCAATACAGTAACTTTCTTTTAAAGTTTTCTTTCTCCTTCAAGTAGTATTAATGAAGATATTGGAAAAATTCATTCAGTATTGCTAATTTACATTCTCTGTTCTTTGAGAACTCACTAATAAACTGGGACGTTTTTGTCCCATTTCACTAGAGATGAGGAACAATGTCACTTTTTACTGTGCGATGTGGTGAATTTAGGATGTGGTGAATTTAGATGTGATAGATTAGACTGAATAAAGGATAAGGAGTATGAAAAGGTCATGGAAACCCTTTACACTGTATTTCATCTTCCTTAGTCACACCAATCTAGATTGCAGAAGTCTAAAGTGTGTGATATATTTACTACCTGACTTGGAGTCCATTTTAAACTTAGGAATATAAAAACTAATTTCTTCCTGCTCATTTTCAGAGTCCTTGCTAAGAGAAAATAAATGATAGCAGAAAGAATGAATCATTTTAAATATTTAAAGCTATTTAAAAGAGAAAGGAAGAGAAAGTATAGCGGGAACTAACATTTATTGGGCACTTTCCATGTTCTAGGAACTATGATACGTGCTTTGCATATCTTATGTAATTTAATTCTCACAACCCTATGAAGAAAGTATTCCCATTTTGCAGATGAGAAAATGAGTTTTAAAAGTCTAAATAATGTTTGTAACATTACACAACTGAGAGGCAGTGGAACTTGGATCTAAATCCTAATTTGCTTGATTCCAAATACCAAGATATACACTGGGCTTCTAAACAATCCCGCACCATGGCAAGACGACAGTCTCAAATGCAAACTAAAGAGTCATATACCTTTTGTGTTTCATCCTTCTTCTCCTGTTTGAGAATGTCAGTTAAGTTGATGAGCTTTTCCATTGCCTCAACTTGCCTATTCAGGTGCTTCAAATACATTCCACATGCACGACAATACGACTCCAAGAGAAGACCAAACCTCTGACTAACTGTTTTATTGTGCATCTCAGATCTAAAAGAATAGTGCAAGATTAATGTATATATATATGGTTTTAAATGAGTATACATATAAACTTTGTTAAGAAAATTAAAAAATCCACTTTCTAAATCCAATAAGCAATACAATCATACTAACAATAAAATGATTCCAACCTATTATTTAGAAGCAAAACAATCAAGAGTTTCAGATAGTTCCTCAACATATAAATTTAAAAAGCAAGTTTTCAGTTTTATTTCAACTACTTTTCATCCACTAATCTCAGAATAAGATATAAAAACATAAAAAAAGGAAACTGGGCACAAAAATAATAAAATGAATAGGGAGGGAGCAAGAGCTCAGTGAGTACTATCTGACTCTTCTGGCACATGTATGTCTACACTTTTCTATACTGTCTCCAAATTTAAGTTATTTTCAACCTAGCTTCTAGCTTCCATTTTTTAACATTTAAAAAATCATATTAGACACAAATATTTCTATATTTATAAAAATGTATATGATTTATGTCCTCTAACTTTGAGTACTAGATATATCACATTCTGCAAAATATTTTTTATTCTTAATTAGCTTGTTTTCTAGTAAGAAACATGGGATTTTTGACATTCTTGTTCTGAATGTCAAGGTAAAATTTTTTCCCCATATTTTGGGATGTTTTAATCCACACATACAGCGATACCTACAGTAATAATATTAATCTGGACCTAGAATATTTTGCTTTACTGAAAGTGGAATCAAAATCTTTAAAATATTTCAGCTCTCATTCATATATAAAATTAAGTTTTGAATTTTACTGCTTATTTAATTTCAAAGAGAAAAAGTTGAGGAAAAGCTCATCTAATGGTACAAAATACTTTCAGTATGAAAAACTCTTTCAGCCAAACAAAAACAAAAGAACATAAAGTAATATGTATTTATACATCTATTAAAAAAAGCAAACAATATATAAAGAATTTAATGGGGAAGTAATGACTTACTTTAAATGCCAAAAGAAAAAGTGCCCAATCCTTTGATTAGTCAATGCTTTCTTGAGTAAAAATCTCACAAGCAGGTTATCCAAATATTGTTCATATTTTAGGACCTAGGTGATCAAAAAGACAAAAAATCAAATAAATCAGGGTCAGTTTCAGTATAGCTAGATTTAAAGAAAATTTTTCAGAAAGAAAGTAGATACTACTGGTAATAAAAACTGATTTTTTTAAAAAAGCATTTGGAAGTTACATAGATTTAGAATAAATCATTATTTTGATTAAAGATTATTTACTATTTTACATCATTTTACCTGTACTAGCTGAATTAAGTACTGAGAAAGTTTGTCATCTGTTAAATACTTTTCCAAGCATCGAACAGCAAAACCTCTAACCATAGGATCTGGATAATTACAGTCTAGAAGCTCCATAGCCTGTTCAGGTTTGATTGGAGGCCAGTCTTTCACCAAGCAGTACATCTGTGTATGAGAGATACAATAAATTATATTTAAAAAGCAAAGAAAGTTGTAATGAACCCTCTAAAACATTGTCTTAACGTCTGATTTTAAAATTAGTTGAGATAAAAGACATCCTTAAAACCTGCTTAAAATTTTTGGTTCTAACTGTTTATCAGTGGAAATGATGTGAATGGTATTTTTCTCCACTACAATACCATTATGAATGAATTTAAAACATAGGCTATTTCATATCTTATATTTATGTAGACTTTTTGAGAGAAAACAATATGAGTGACATACCAATTTTGTGCAACAGTTATTCAGTAATCTCAAACACACATTTACCTGGGCTACTTCATCTCTAGAATTCCATTTAACAGACAGAAGCAATTTAGGTAGAATTTCAGGGATAGTTACACAATAGTGTCTGTGTGGGAAAGATAAAACAAAATAAAAAACATTTGTGTGTTATTCGAAAGGTTCAGATGTCTAATTTTTCAATTATGCAATCTTTAAGAAGTTCCAAACTACTTACTAGTCTTCTGTAAAATCAAAAGAAATCAGTGTTTAACACTATAGTTGTATATACATGTACATATAGATTTAGATACAGTTATAATGACAAAGAAGACAAAAAGAAAATCCAAATGGAGGACAAGCACTTAAGTTTAATTGATAATTAAGGAAAATTATGAATAGATGTTATAGCTTATATTTTCCACCTACTCCTTATATAGCTCATATTTTCACCCACTTATGCAACATGAACCATATAGAGTCACCACATCTACTGTGGTCACTGGACAAAATTTATGCTTTAATGAACTTTCTATCGAAATGCACTACAACTATATTTATTTGAATATACCAGTGTCACTTATGAATAGCAGGATAATTTCTTCATAAGTGAAAATAAGGCATAACACTATTACTTTGAAGAAGTGTAAGAAAAAAGAAAAATGGAAAGGCACTCCTGAAAATTATAATATTTAGACCAACCTAATCACAACAAAATTGATCTAAAACTAGATTAAAATTGATCAAAACCGATCTAAAAATCAAGTGTTAAAAATCTTGAATTTTATTTTAAAAAATCCTAAAGGACAGTCATATTAGGAATTTAGAATTAAAAAAAAAAGCCTTCAATGAGCAAAGTAAGTACCAATGCAGCATAATTTTCTAGAAATATAGATCTATATCCATAGCTTCTAAAAAGGCAAAGTTTATAAATTTAAAAATCATGTAAATTGTGCCTTATTTACTCTAATAGGTATGGTAAAAATATAGCAAGACCAGCCAAAGTCAGTTCTTTTTTTCTGTAATAAAAAAATAAAACCAAGGCCGGGCGCTGTGGCTCACGCCTGTAATCCTAGCTCTTGGGAGGCCGAGGCGGGCGGATTGCTCAAGGTCAGGAGTTCAAAACCAGCCTGAGCAAGAGTGAGACCCCGTCTCTACTATAAACAGAAAGAAATTAATTGGCCAACTGATATATATATAAAAAAAATTAGCCGGGCATAGTGGCGCATGCCTGTAGTCCCAGCTACTCGGGAGGCTGAGGCAGAAGGATCACTCGAGCCCAGGAGTTTGAGGTTGCTGTGAGCTAGGCTGACGCCACGGCACTCACTCTAGCCTGGGCAACAAAGTGAGACTCTGTCTCAAAAAAAAAAAAAAATAAATAAAAAAAAATAAAACCAGAAAATCTCCACCTTTTTTTTCTCTCTCTTTTTAAAAATTAATTATTTTTATTTTAGTGTATTATGGGGGTGCAAGTGTTAAGGTTACATATATTGCCCACGTCCCCCTCCCACCTTGAGTAAGAGCTTCAAGTGTGACCCATCCAGAAAATCTCCATCTTAACACTTACCTGTGGCTCCACAGAAAATCTTTCTCTTGCTCAGTAATTTCAGATAGAGGATCTCGTGTACAAATTGCTCGGAGCTGTTCTTTGTCATTTTCTCTTAATTCATTGTCTCTAGCTAGTCTGTTACTCTGCAAAATAAAGTAATATCTAATATGGTTTTCTTTGCTATATTTCCTCACCCACAGATTCATGAGTGATCTACCAAAAATGTTAATTTTCAATACACTTTACATTGCTTAACTGTTGTAAAAGAATTTATTGTCATTGCAAGATTTTATTTTGGGGGATAAGGAAGAACCAATTTTAGACATAGAATATGTGGAACAAATCCAATAATTTACTTTGTTAATATTACCACCAACCCACAGTTAGAAAAGTAGCTGCCTAAGTTCATCAGGGAGAAGACCAGATTGGGATACTACGTATGCTAGTGAACAATTTATTTCTTTTCCTGATGAGACCCCTTCCTAGTATCCTATTAACTTATTTATTAATGTTTCTGATATAAGAGAATAAGAAACAGTAAAATAATAAAAGCCAGGTGTGGTGGCACATGCCTGTAGTCCCAGCTACTCAAGAGGCTGAAGCAGGAGGACTGCTTGAGTCCCGGAGTTTGAAGCCAGCCTGAGCAACAGAGTGAGACTCTGCCCCCACCAAAAATAAAAAATAAAAATAAGAAAAATTTTAAAAAAGTAAACACTTTCATGTTCTTTGTGGTAATACATCCTTGTAATAATTGCTGCAAGGCTTTCAAAATTAAAAAGTAAAAATAAGAGAAAAAAGAAGAAACACCCCCATTACAACCCTGTATACTGAATATTAGGAAACTAAAAAGAAAACATAACTTTTTTGTATAATTCCAAGTAATATATTTATTCCCTTTTAATATAGATACATTAACTGTGTAATGAATAATTATGAATGCATATTACCATATTATATAAAACAAATATAAATCTTTAGAATGAGTTACACATATTCCTAACAGCTAAAAATGAAAGCAGATAGCCATGCTACTTGGTTTTTTTTTTTTACATTTACACATTGTTAATTTATTCAACAGCATGAAGAAATATTACTGGCATATCAACAAGTATTTATTAAATATGTACTGTGTGCTTTGTCCTGTTCTTGCAGTTGGGGTTACAAAACAGTAAAAGACCCTGCACTAACATAGCCTCCACTTTAGTGGGAAATCAAATAAATAAACAATATTGGATAGTTGCTGTAAGTATACTGGGTGTTAGAGAGTGACTGAGAGGCTACTTTATTTAGACTGAGTATTTGGAAATTTGTGATTCAAATGGCAAGAAGGAATCATCCACGCTAAGTTCAGGGAGACTACTGTAGATGGAGAAAATAGTACAGGGCCCCAAGGAAAAAATAAGTTTGGTGGGAATGAAGAACAGGAAGAAAGTCAGTAAGTCTAATGCTCAGTAGAAGAGGGAGAGGAGAAATAGGATGTCTAGTTCAGAGCATGTAAAATTTATAGGTCAGCATAAAAAGTTTGGATTTTATTATTATTGACAACTATTTAAAGGATAAAAACCATGATTTGATTTGTTTCATAAAGATTATTGTGGCTGCTCTGTGGAGGGAAGGAGACTGGTTGGGAGGCTATTGCCATAGTCCAGGGAACAGATAATAAATACTGAGTACTCAATTTACCAGGAAAAGTAGTCATTACTGTTTATCATCTGGGTCCAATGGACTCTTATATTATTTACTTATATTTGTTTATATTTTTAATATAAAATAACTAGAAGAATAATGTGATGGTAGAAAACAATTTTCTAGACATTTTAATAAGAAGTTAAACATAGTAAAACCAAATTTTTACCTATATTTTCCTGGTTTTGAAGATAAATGTCTTTGTCAGACTGCACACTACATCATCAAAATGTAGTACTTTTGAAAACTCTGATGGCTTATAACTTTGTTGAGGAGAGGATGGCCATCTTCTTTGCTTTGTAATTGTAAAACATTTCCATTTTTATAAATGGATTTATAAATGGTATTTACTTATAAATACCAATCAGAATGATAAATCCAAGGTATTTCTTTTACTTCTACATCACCTTTTTCCTTCTAGTCACCTATATATACACACCTGCCTTCAGCATTTGACCATTTAGAAAGGGCATCAAGTAAATTTTGGTGTATGTCATAAAATATTAAAAGAATACTGCAAAAACATGAGGCTGTTCAGGTTCTTGTCACAAAATATTGTGTGAAGTCATTCCTGTTCAATGACTAATTGAAAGTGATTACCAAATTTCCTTTTGTCCTAGGAAATACTACTAATTTTTTTGTCCTTAGAAATATATTGTCCACTAACTACTACCTTGTGTTTGAGAAAACTAATCTAGGATATTATTAATATAAAATAGCTCATATTTCATTTATATAATAAATTTCACCATCATCATTGGAGTCTGGAGTGGTGTTTCTCAACTGGGGTTATTCTGCCCCCTCTACTTCCCAGGGACCTTTGGTTGTCATACCAAGTTGTGACATCTTTGATTGTCACAACTTGGTATGACTGGCATCTAGTAAGGTAGAAGCCAGGAATGCTGCCACACATCCTGTAAAACATAGGATAGCTCCTACAACAAAGAATTATTTGGCTCAAAATGTCAACAGTGCTGAGGTTGAGAAAGTTTATTTTCTAGAGTGCTATTGTCTGTCTCTTTGCATTCATACTGTGACCTAATGATTATGAAATATCTTCCTCTGTCAATTTTGTTCTCTTTTGTCATTACGGGTGGAAAGTAAAAAATTCTGAATTCTCAACAGTGTCCAATGAAAGACTAAGAAAAACAAAACAAACAAAAAAACCTACAAAGATGATGTTAGCAGACTTCTTTTATATCTCTGGAAAGATGATGTAAGACATTGGGCAATGTAGTAAGAAAACTGAATGATAATGTGGTAATGATGATTTATTTCACTATTGTATTATCCTTCTAGGCTATTCCATTCTTCATATTATTTTAGGTTTTTCTTAGCATAGTTGAAAATAATTAATGAATACTGATGAAAATAACTTCTAGGATGATGAAATACTAAAATATTTACAATACAGAAAAACTAAGATCCCATAATGTATCTTAGATTTATAGACGTTTCTAACAAATGCAAATGATAATTGAAAGAGTTTTTATTCTATTATAAAATTAAGCAATTTTTCTTTTTTCTTTGACAGAAAGAAAAATTCTTTTAAGAAAGAATATAGTTATTCACAAAGAGTTAAAACTGCTCAAAGAAGAAACTCATATATTTGAAATTATATATGCAAGAAAGATACTATATAATTCAGCTTACAAAAAGAACCGGTAAACTCCTTACTGAGATCACAACTGTAAATTAATAAAGGTCCTAAGTACGGTATTCCAGGCTGCCACTTGGTGCTGCTGTTACTGTTACTGAGATAGACAAATTTCAGGGCCTCTTGGCTCAATATTCTTTGGCTATTCTATCTATAACCTACAACCAGGCCAAAGAAAAAGTGGTAAATTTGGAAACTGGGGAAAAGAGACACCAATGAACAAAAATATCTTATCTTGGCACTAATACCTTTTGAAAAATTAGGGAGGATTAATGGTCCTTGAACCCAGTTGTATTATGGTTCCAAAGCCTCTGCCAAGTTTAGACAACTAGATTAATATTTAAACTCTATATTCTATACATTCTTTTCTGGGGAACCTGGACTAACATGGTGAAGACTTGCTATTTCCTCTCCTTCCAACCTCAACTGGTGACACATTTATATAAGCATACCTTGTTTGTATTGTGTTTTGCTTTACCGTGCTTCACAGATATTGCATTTTTTTGCAAATTGAAGGTTTGCAGCATCCCTGTGTTGAGCAAGTCTATTCGCACAATTTTCCAGCAGCAAAAGTGCTCACTTTGTGTCTGTCATGTTTTGGTCATTCCCACAATATTTCCAAGTTTTTTTTTTATTATTATTGTATCTATTATGGTGATCTGTGATGAGTGATCTTTGATGTTACTATTGCAATTGTTTTGGAGTACCATGAACCATACCCATATAAGACAGAGAACTTAATAAATTATGTGTGCTCTGACTGCTTCACTGACTGGCTGTTCCCCACCATCTCCTCCTCTCTTTGTGCCTCCCTATTCTCTCAGAAACAACCATATTGAAATTAGGCCAGTTAATAAGCCTACAATGGCCTGCAAGTATTAAAGAGAAAGGAAGAGTCGCACTTGAAATCAAAAGCTACAAATGATTAAGCTTAGTGAGGAAGGCATGTCGAAAGCCAAGACCGGCCAAAAGCTAGACCTCTTGTGCCAAATAGCCAAATTGTGAGTACAAAGGAAAAATTCTTGAAGGAAATTTAAAGTGCTACTCCAATGAACACACAAGTGATAAGAAAGCAAAATAGCTTTACTGCTAACAGAAAAAGTTTTTTAGTGGTCTGGATAGAAGGTCACACTATCCACATTACTTATGCCAAAGCCTAATCCAGAGCAAGGCCCTACCTCTCTTCAATTTTATGAAGGCTAAGAGAGGCCAGGAAGCTGCAGAACAAAAAGTCTGAAGCTAACAGAGGTTGGTTCATAAGGTTTAAGGAAAGTAGCTGCCTCCATAATATAAAAGTACAGGTGAAGGAGCAGGTGTTGATGAAGAAGCTGCAGCAATTTATCCAGAAGGTCACTTATCTAGCTAAGATCACTGATGAAGGTGGCTACATTAAGCAATAAGGTTTCTTTTCTTTTTTTTTTTTAGAGACAAGATCTTGCTCTGTCGTCCATGCTGGAGTGCAGTGGCATGATCATTGCTTACTGCAGCCTCAAACTCCTGGGCTCAAGTGATCCTCCCACCTCAGTTTCCTGAGTAGCTGGGACTAGTGGTGGGCACCACCACACCTGGATAGTTTAAAAAAAAATTTTTGTAGAGACAGGACAACATATTTTCAACGTAGACAAAACAGCCTTCTCTTGGAAGAAGATGCCATCTAGGACTTTCATAGCTAGAGAGTAGAAGTCAATGCCTGGCTTCAAAGCCTCAAAGAACAGGTTGCCTTTCTGTTAGGGGCTAAGGTAGCTGGTGACGACAGCAGGAGGGATTGACTCTAATTTTGACAGAAGTTCTACTGTGAGTAAAATGCTATCAAATGGTAGTGTGTACTAAAGAAAAATCTTTCATGAAAGGAAGAGAGTCACCTGATGCAGCAAATTCTATTGTGTTATTTTAAGAAACTGCCACAGCCACTCCAACCTTTAGCAACCACCAACCTGATCAGTTAGTAACCAACAACATCAAGGCAAGATCTACTACCAGCAAAAAGATTATGACATACTGAGGGCTCGGATGATCATTAGCATTTTTTTATCAAAAAAAATTTTTAAATTAAGTTATGTACCTTATTTTTTTAGCTATAATGCTACTGCACACTTAATAGACTATAGTACAGTGTAAACATAACTTGTATGTGCACTAGGAAACCAAAAAATTCATGTGCCTCTCTTTATTGCAGTGGTCTGGACCCAAACCTGAAATATCTCAGAAGTACGCCAGTACTTCAGTCTCAACCTCGAGGTTAATACCTCAGAGGTCTTTTTTTAACCCAAAAACCATCAGTCTGTCCCCTCAATCCTGCTAGTTATTCTTAGAACACTATTGCTTTTTCCTTCATGGTACTTACCATGATTTAGATAGTTGACCCTGGAACAATGTAGGGTTAAGGGTATCAACCTCCTACACAGTTGAAAATCTGTGTATTAACACCCCCCCAATATTATAGGGGTACTAATGTTTTGGTTACATGACTTACAATTGTGAAGTTACAGTCAAAGTTATATGTATGCCTGTCACCAAGATAGTGTGCACTGTACCCAGTAGGTGTGAATTTACCTGTCCCCTCCTCACCATTCCCACCTACTTGGTTTCCTTTGAGTTTTACTTCTATATGTGCACATGGGTGTTGATTGATTAGTTCCAATTTAATACTGAATACATGTGGTATTTGTTTTTCTATTCCCAAAACTTAATTACTAATGCCTACTGTTGACTGGAAGCCTTACTGATAGTACTGCACTATATTTATTGATACGGTAAGTTTGTGTTATCTGTTTACAAGATGAATCATTTGTCTGAAATGTATGCAACCACAGCTGCAGACCTCAATCTATGGTACTTATCAAGCAATTCATCTTTTTCTTATAATGTCATGACTTTTCTTTGCTTCTTGAGAGCATTTCCAGCATCACTAGTGGCACTTTGTATGGGTTCCATGGTGTTATTCAAGGTTCATATATTGTGCTAAACATGATGAAATAAACATGAGAACTGTGAAAGATTACTTTTTATTGCAATATACAATTCACTGGAGACCAATTGCTCACGAGGAGATGACTAGCATCACATAGCGTTTTAAGTAGATACTTTCAACACTTGAGCTCACCACAACAGCAACAGGAGGTGGCTATGAAATTATTATAGTCATACAGTAGGTACTGCAGATAATTTTGTGCAGTTATGATTTAATACTGCATCTTTATGTATATTTACATTTCCTCAACTGCAAATGGTGCCATGTGTGGTCTGTAAGTATTTGTATGTGTAGGTTTTGATAAATTTTAAGTTTCTATAATAGTCTTGTATATATTATGTGGTAGCAAACAAGACTAGTATCTATATATATTTTATGCATTCATGATATACCTTAACTTTTCCTTAATTTTTTCAGTATTTTCAGAATACACAGTTCATCTGATTTTTTTTCAAATTGTTGCAAATCTCCAAAAATTTTCCAATATAGTTATTGAAACAAATCTGTGTGTAAGTGGACCCATGTAGTTCAAACTCATGTTCCTCAAGGGTTAACTATAATCTTACATTTCTACTTTTATCTGTTTAATGTCTATTTTCCCCATTAGACTGTATACTCAGTGTAGGTCTGTTCATGATTTTATTACCTAGTGCCTATCCCAGTGCTTTATATATAGTCAGCACTCAATAAATATCTGTTAAATGAATGAAGGCAGGTTAGGACTTTGAAGAAGCAGAGTTATAGTAAAAATATTAGCATACAGAGAATTTTATTCTATTGCAATATATCCCAGAGCTCAAAGTATCTATGCCAGTTTAACTAGAATACATGAAACTTTTCCATACAAAGAGTATGTACCCAAGTCCACAGATTATGACAGATAGTTAATAAACTGAGTGATTTGCCTTACCAGTCCTGCATGGGAATAACTAAATCCTGCTTCTCGGGACACAGACCAATTGGCATGCTCTTCAATCACTGACATATCTGGAAACTTTACCACACTGCTGAACCAGTCAAACTCCAACTCTAAGCATGGAGTTTCCTAAGACATGAGAGAAAAGTCATTTTTTAAATATACATATATATAGTGCTTGATGGTCATAAAAAAGAAAAAAATTTAATTTATGATAATAAAAAACTTACCTTATTTGGATTTGATCCAGTAACACCAATAGGGTTCAGCAAATCTTCTAATCCATGAGGTACTGGCCAAAGATTCAAAGCCATTTTTCCAGATACTAGAGTGTCCGTGTAATCAAATAAGTTTATATTTCCCCAGGCTAATGGACAATGTTCCTTAAGAAACAAAGAAAAATATTCACTCCTGTATGGATTTAATTATAAAACACATTTCAAAACACTTTTCTTCCCCAGAAAGTTTTTTTTTTTTAAAAGAGGCACAGTCTCGCTCTGTTGCCCAGGATAGAGTGCAGTGGCATGATTATATGCTCGTAGCTCATTGTAACCTCAAATAACTGGGCTCAAGTGACCCTCCTGCCTTAGCCTCCTGAATAGCTAAGATGGCAGGTACATGCCGCCATGCCTGGCTAATTTTTAAATGTTTTTTTGTAGAGTTGGGGGTCTCTCTATGTTGTCCAGGCTAGTCTCAAACTCCTGACCTCAAGTAATCCTCCTGCCTTGGCCTCCCAGTGCTGGGATTATAGGTGTGAGCCACCATGCTCAGCCCTCAAAAAGGTGAATTCATCAACTGTCTCTATATTTATAAGAATATGGTATCTACAAAAAGCCATATTGATTTTTCAAATTTAAGTACTTTCCTTCCTTTCTCCCATTTGAAATTATAGGTATTTTCTTTAATTATAAATTGGAAATATGAACTAAAGCAAGCACGACAGATATTTATATACTCACTATTATGTATTTACTCTGCATGTTTAAAAAATGTATCAATATGAACTCAAAACATACTTATTCATCATAAATTCCTAAAGCTCTCCCAAGGTATTCTTCTATGATACATTTATTAAAAAATTTTAAAATAGGTTTAATTTATTACTGTTTTCTTTTTTTTTTTCATTTTTTTCCTTTGTAGCCTTGTTCACTAGAATATTTTCTTTTTTTTTTTTTTTGAGACAGAATCTCACTTTGTTGCCCAGGCTAGAGTGAGTGCCATGGCATCAGCCTAGCTCACAGCAACCTCAAACTCCTGGGCTCAAGCAATCCTTCTGCCTCAGCCTCCCAAATGAGACTACAGGCATGCACCACCATACCTGACTTATTTTTTCTATATATATTAGTTGGCCAATTAATTTCTTTCTATTTTTAGTAGATACAGGGTCTCGCTCTTGCTCAGGCTGGTTTCGAACTCCAGACCTTGAGTGATTTGCCTGTCTCGGCCTCCCAGAGTGCCATGATTACAGGCGTGAGCCACCACGCCCGGCCTAATGTTTTCTTTAATAAAGAAATATAACATCCATTTTGTGTAAAATTTCATTCAGCAATATAATTTGTACCTAAGTTTTTAGAGGTAGACATAATGGTTCCTTCTGAAATACTTTACCTCTTTAGCACCCTTGCGTCCTTTAACAGAGCAAATGGAAAGGCAAAGTCGAGCAGCACGAGGAAGATCAGGAATGTATATATCATAATTCAGCCATTCATTCCATCTATGTAAAAGTTTAAAGAAAAAAGAATTTACCAAAAAAAGGGTTTTATCCAGAATATATAAATGACTCCTAAATATCATCAAGAAAAACATAAACCAAATGAAAACCAAGCAAAAGACTGACCAGAATAGGCACTTTATAAGATCATATCAAAATGGCCAGTAAACATGAAAAAGTAGTCATTATTATTTGCTGCACAGAAAATGCAGATTAAAATATCATGGAGATATCATCATACATGAGAATGGCTAAAACTATAAAGACTGATGATGCCAAGGGGTGGTAAGGGTAATGCTGTAGTAGTAAATCGCATATACTAAGGGGGGGGGTATAATTTGTTATAACCAATTTGGAAAGCATAATCTACTAAAAGTAAATATATGTATACCCTATGACCCAGCTTGACTTCTAGGAAGAAAACCACAAAACTGTGTGCATCTGTTAAGAGCAGAATTATTAACAATACTCCTAAACTGCAAACAACCCAAATGTCCAACAGTAGCATAGATATATTGTGATATAGTCATAAAATGGAATATTACATAGCAATCAAAATGACCAAGTTACTTACAAAATAGACGAAATCTTACAAACATAATATTGAGTAAAGAAGCCAGACACAAAAGAATACCTACTCTTTGAGTCTATTTACATAAAATTAAAAAACAGGCAAAACTAATCATTAGTGGCAGAAGTTAGGATAGTGGTTACCTTTTGGAAGAAGTAAGAATGAACATCAGAGGGGCTTTTGGAGTGTTGGTAAATGTTCTATTTCTTGACCAGTGTAGTGGTTACATGGGTATTCACTTTGTAATAATTCACTGAACTATATGATTATTTGTATACTTTTATGCATGTATCCTATATACTTCACTAAAAAAACCTCAATTTTGCTTATAAAAAATCCAAAGAAAGGAAAATCAAACAAGATTAAAGGAGATTTTTTTAATGATAATTAGTTATCATAATTATATTTAATTACTTTTATATGTAATATAAAGTATTATTCAGAAGAGCCCACTAATCTAAATAAATTAATATGTAAATAAAATGAAGGCTATATAAAGTATTTGAAGCTTAGAATTTGAAGCTTAACTCCTTCATAAATGGTAATAAAACTTGAAATTCATAATAAGGAAAAAATAAAAAATTACTACAAAAAGCAATAAGAAAAAATCATTCAAATTTTTATGATAAATTCCTTCAACTTAATGGATGCTACATGTTATGTCTATATTTGGTGGGCATATTTATAAAGAGCCACGTATAATAAATATTAATACTTCTGTGTTTTTAAAAAACATTATAACAATAGTTAAAGAATATGAACTCAGAAGTCAGACTACCTGGAGTAGAATCTTGTTTCTACTATTTCACTAAATGTGTAACCCTTGCTTTGTCTTTTGTTTGCATCATTTGTGAAATGGGACTAATAATAGTCCTACCTTCATAGGTTGTTACTATCTCATAAAATTAATTGAGGCAATATAAGTAAAAGGATTAGAATAGAAACTGGCCTATGAGCTCAAGTGTTAGATATTAATTTTGAAAACTTTTCAAGTGTCTTCATTGTTCTATTCTTTGATTATAAATAAAACAATTCTTAAACAACAAAATGGTATAAAAATTCTATTTTTACTTAGTCAAATTAAGTTACACTTTATCAGTAAAATACATTCTAGCTCAAGTATGGACAAAGATTTTTTAAAAATATGGTTATTATAGAAAGAAGACATATTTAAAATGGGGAAATTTAGCATGAAATCTAAAGGTAAAAGAAACAAATGTTGCTGTTAGTACACAGTAATTTAAGAAAAATTAAAGATATATCCATTTAAATTTACTGAAGCCTTTTTATTACTCCTAAATCTTTAGAATTGCTCATAAATTAATAAAAAGTGTTCTATACACCATCTAAGAGAGCTATGTTCTATGAATCTAGTTGTTCAGCACTATGCTAATAGAATAAATGTTTCTCTCTTCTAAAGTCTACCCATCCCACAATACACACACATATACCCCTAAAATTAAGTCCTTTATTTTTAAGAAATGGTTTTGCACACATAGACATACACGCATTGCTTCTGATTTTGGGAGATAACTGGTAACAATCATGAAGAAATCATCAAGTATCTATTATAATTTATCTAGTATATGGGAAGCACAGATTTGGAATAATCTCAGTAAGAATTTTAAAAATCTACTTTTCTACCTTTCTAATAACTTCATATTCATTTATCTCTGATTTTTTGTTTTTATAAATATAGAAAAGTTAAAAATTTAAAATTTTCATACTACCACAAAGATGTCACCTTTCAGATTAGAGAATTCTTGAAGAAATGATAACCAAATCTAGCCCTTTCTAAATAGTTTCTTTAATTTACTAAAATTTCAACATTTTAATCAAATATTATTAAATAAGTCCACCTTTTACTTTTATAAAGCTAGTTTACTTTTGGTACTTGAAACAAGTAGGATAAATCTATCAAACATTATTTTGGGGTCTTTGCTTGGGGCTTGTGGAAGTCCTTGGATTGGTGAGTTTATAGTTTTTACCAAATTCAGAAAAATTCTGGCTATTATTTCCCTCAAATACTGTTTTTCTTTTCTTTTCACAACCGCCCCACCTAACCTGTGACAGACAGACAGTATGAGAGGAAAATAAGCTGTTGTTTTAGCAAAAATTAAGAAACATCCTAGGGTTGTTTGTTGCCACAACATAATCTCTAACCTGAATGATATGCATTCTGACCTACGATGATTCAGATAGGCTAAGGAACTATCTCCCTTCCTCCTGATAAAGAAGGCTACCAGCTCTTTGAACTTAACCTAGGCTCTAGAAGGATGGCCACCTTTAGCAACTTAATTATAAAACTAGAATTTTTTCCTGAGTCTCCTAGAAGTCAGTCTAACTTTATTATGAGATTTACTTCTGGAGGATTAACTAGTTAGCTCTACTGCTATACAGCCCATCTTCAATCTTTAATACTAACTTGAGTTTTCTCAAAATATTACTGGTATTATATTCAGTATACAGGGGTAGACTCTCATTTCAAAATGACTCCAAAGAGAGGCAAAGAAATAGCACGTTGGCAAGCTATTGGATTATACTACCTTTTATTTAATTTAAAGTGTTCCTGATTAACTTTCCCCTCCCCCCAAGTAATTGATTTATTCCCCCAAATCTTCTATTTGAATGCCATAAATATCTCTTTTTGGGAGTGATTTAAAGGAAACTGCCTCAGAGTAGTTTGGCTGTGAAGTTCTTTACCAACTCTTACTTGTCTTCTCCTTCACATAAATGATGATGGAGATAAGAAAAGAAGAAAATGCTAGGTTTTTGAACTAATGTGGGGAATTATCAGCACAAAATTATAACCATATCTTGTTCTCTTCTTGATACAATGGGAAGAGAGAATCAGAAAAACTCATCTGATAAGATTTTAGAAATAGTCAATAAAGTGATGCTGTGATTGATACTCATTTGACAGATATGGTGTTTAAGTAAATGTTTGGTAACTTACATAACTTGTATAAAACTAATGATGTAAAATACACTACTTTTATTGATCACATTGCTAAACACTAATATGACCTTTGGAAATGGAAATCCATTTACTTCCTTACCTGGGATTAGAACAAGGTACTCTCTGAGTGTTTACATTGTCACATAAGGGTTCTCCTCCATGGTAGATACCTGTTCGAACATAGATCTAAAAAAAAAAAAGTATGTGTATATAAATATATACACTTATACATACACATATGCACACATATTAGATAGAACCAAATAGTAAACAATAAAATTTTTGTTCAGATATAGCTTTTCTTCACATATATAGTAAGTTAATACTGATGTAGATTCTTCACCAAAATTTGTTGCTGCCTTTATCCATTAATAACAATGGGGACATTAGACTACTAAAAAATTAATGTAGACACACAGTTCCTTTAAGCCAGGTATATAATTCAGAGTTTTTCATATTTTAGAAAGATACATTGGTATGTACTAAGTATTACTTTAAACATTTAGAAGCTGGAGCAGTATCCCATGACATGAATACTTCTATAATAAGACACATGAATATTTATACTAAGTGGGATTAATAAACATTATAAAAAGTCTCACTTCAAGTTGGGTCAGGGTTTTCTGCCAAATGAATTCTGTAAAACTTTTGGATTTTTCTTTTAGAGGCAGGGTCACACTTTCTTGCCCAGGCTGCAGTGCAGTGATGTGATCATAGCTCACTATAACCTGGAGGCTTGGGATCAAGTGATCCTCCTGCCTCAGCCTCCTGAGTAACTAGAGCTACAGGCATACGCTACCATGCCCAGCTAAGTTTTAAATTTCTCTGTAGAGATGGGTCCTGCTATGGTTGCTCAGGCTAGTCTTGAACTCCTGGCTTCAAGTGATCCTTGGCCTCCAAAAATGCTGGGATTACAGGCATGAGCCACTATGCCTGGCCAAACTTTTGGTTTTAAGAGGTAGAATTATGGATATCAGAATTATTGACAAAGGACTATGGGCTGTGTAATAGCTAATATGGATGGAAACTCAAATAGAATTTATTATATGCTTTTATTTTCTGAGATTTGGGTGTTTTTTTAGACATCTGAAAACATACTATAGGTCAACCGATTATTGTATAGTTCAATAAAAAAGGTTTATATAAAATAATTTATATAAAATAATAAACATAAGCATCTGACCTTACCTTATCAATGTCTCGAATATTTACATTCACATAGGTTGCACAAAGAATTTTTATTCTGAGTGCACTATTTATAACCCAAAGAGATTTTGTAGATGTTTCTCCATTCATATATGGTGTAGCTGTGGAAATACGTCTGGAATAAGATGGCATTGTAAAACAGTCCATTGGCAGTTGAGAGTAAAGGCTTTCTTTCGCCATCAGCATCAAATTGGGCATCCTCCCAAGCATTATACAGCTTCTTATATACTGTAAGATATTAATGGGAGAACCCATTTCCTATAAGATTTTTCATTTTAAAAGCAGCAAGAGTATTATGCGAATTTACATATTAATGTGTAAAGGTGATAAAAAATCAAACATTATAGATCACATTTATTAGCAGTTGCTGTAACACTTAAAATACTAACATTTGGGAGTTAGGTTATAGTACAGGATAATCCAAGCACCTCTGATACAAACTGTACAAAAGAAAAAAATAAGGTCAGCTTTTAACATTGTACTTCTACCCTTAACTGGAAGCAAAGAAAAATAAAAGGAATTAAAATTAAGGATCAGGCTGGGCCTGGTGGCTCACGCCTGTAATCCTAGCACTCTGGGAGGCCAAGGCAGGTGGATCGCTCAAGGTCAGGAATTTGAGACCAGCCTGAGCAAGAGCAAGAGCGAGACCCTGTCTCTACTAAAAATAGAAAGAAATTAATTGGCCAACTAAGAAAATACATAGAAAAAATTAGCCAGGCATGGTGGCGCATGCCTGTAGTCCCAGCTACCCGGGAGGCTGAGGCAGCAGGATTGCTTGAGCCCAGGAGTCTGAGGTTGCTGTAAGCTAGGCTGACACCATGGCACTCTAGCCCCAGCAAGAGACTGTCTCAAAAAATAAAATAAATAAAATAAGGATCAGATGATATTCATTATGAAAATGTTGTATTCGATAACAGAAAAGCAACATCACTTATTAAGCCTCTGTTATTTATTTATTAAAAAAAATAAAATTGTCTGGCCAAATTTCTTTTTATTTTTTAGTAGAGACGAGGTCTCACTCTTGCTCAGGCTGGTCTCGAACTCCTGAGCTCAAGCAGTCCTCCTGCCTCAGGCTCCCAGAGTGCTAGGATTACAGATGTGAGCTACCACAACTGGCCAGCCTCTGTCATTTAATCTATTAAGTCAAACTGATATCCCATCCAAGGGTTGATGTTCACTTGCTCTTTTTGTCCAAACATTTCCTGGAAACATTAGTTTTGTTTAAAAATAAAACATCCTGATCTATTTGAATATTTAAAAAAATAAAATAAAATAAAAAAATAAAAATAAAACAAAACTCATTCTGCAAATAGAGGAGACTGATAAAATTATGAGAATATTTACAAAAAAACCTAAAATGTACCGGTCTGAAATTTGAAATGGTAGTTAGGATAAAGATTTTTGATATAAATGCTACTGTATACATAATAGTCTATTTTCTTACCCCAAAGCTACACTAGACAATAAGTAACCTGAAGGCCAGGACCATGTGTTGTAAATTAGTACTCGGCATATACTTTGTACAAACATAGTTTCATTTTTTTTTTGGAGACAAGGTCTCACTTTGTTGCACAGGCTAGAGTGTAGTGGCTCTTATCATAGCTCACTGCAACCTCAAACTCCTGGGCTCAAGCAATCCTCCTGCTTCAGCCTCCAGAATAGCTGGAAAACAGGCATGCACTACCACACCTGGCTAATTTTTGTATTTTTTGTAGAGATGGGGTCTGAATATGTTGCTCGGCTGGTCTTGAACTCCTGGCCTCAAGCAACCCCACCGTCTTGGCCTCTCAAAGTACTAGGATTACAGGAGTGAGCCACCATGCCCAGTTTCTTGTAGGTAGTTATTAAATGAATAGAGAAAGAGAGTTGGGAAGTACTAACAGTACATCTTAACAGTAGATCATCAATTTTTTGAAATGTCCATTTTAATTCCATTCTAGTACCATTGCTTAGAGATAAAAATCATAAAAGACCACAGGTTGTTTAACTGTCAACATTTTCAGCCTCTCAAATTAAATAATCACAGTATAGAAAATAAACTCAAAGTGCTATTTAATATTAATTTTCAAAAAGTATGTCCTAAAAATACAGATACTAGTCTTCAATGTGATTACTTTTTAAATGTAAAAGTAAAATTAATATTCTTGAAACTTTTACTCACCTTGTACTGACTCAGAGGATATTTTTCTAGGAAGTATTCATCACATCCACACACTTTTAAAATATACTTGCCCTGATATTCTAAAACACAGAGTTTTAGTTGTTCAGAGGATAGCAACATACTTCGAGTTTTTTTCCTGATTGCTTCAGCAATTACTTGTTCTGGCACACAGTCATGGTTGATTTTCAGAGTATACTTCTGCTTGTCATTATTTGGAGAAACTATTACCCAAATCACCACTATTATTTGCCCTGTAATAGGAAAACATTATTAGATGCAATCACCGTATCTGTTTCATTCTTCAAGAGATAAATTTCAAAAAGTATACACTATCATTACTTTAACTATAATCAGAAATGATTTACAATCAGCCTAATTAAATCTAGGTAAATATCAGGTAGAAATAGTAAATTTTCATATCTGATAGGGCTAGCAGACCATGCCTGAATCTCATGTTTTATGACAAGCATGCAAAACTCTGACTAGTGGGTCACAAGTACCTGAGACCAAGCTAATTTCCATTCTAAACTGCATGACATACTTCAAGGGTGCAGCCCCTGTGAAGAGTGACTCATGATGGTATCAAAGGTTCAACAGTGCCTAAGGTAGAAGTATTTTTGGTAACTATGGGAAGTAAAGAAAGAATCAATAGAGGCTTAAAGATGCTGAATTGAAATGACAGAAAAGATGGAGAAGGAAAGGTAGGAAAATGAGGAGGGAGAGGAAGTGTATTTTCTAGTTTTCTCCTTTTAAGATCAATTAAAGCCAAAGGACCAAAAGAGAGAGAGAGAGAGAGAGAGAGAGAGAGAGAGAGAGGGAGGGAGGGAGGGAGGGAAGGAGGGAGGGAGGGAGAGAGAGAGAGAGAGAATGGAAAGATTAAAACTACGTTAGAGTGGTCTGGGTGCTCACAATACAATTCTTTCAACTTTTCTGTATGTTGGAAAATTTTCATAAAAAATTTTGGGGAAAAGTGAAGACCATTTCACCTAAGAAGTATACTGGAGCAGAAAAGAATTTTGAATAAAGATTTTATGTTGCACTAGTTTGAAAAATATGGGTGAAACAGTAATATGAATGTCTTAACTCATTCTACTGACAGAATTTTATATGTAATAGTGTATGAGAGTCAATCTATTATTTCAAATTGAACCTTCACCTTATTATCCTGAAAGGTATAGATATTTATCTGATATAATATTTATTTCCAAAACAATATAGTTTATGTATTTTCATGTGTACTTAACTCTACAAATTGATACAGTAAATGTCAAAATTCTGTCTATAAATTATCACTCATTAGGATAAATTACAGCATTTAACAATTAGGAAAATTATTTTTTCTGCATATATATGGTATGATAACAAGAATGTGTATTCACATTTCATAAAATGTTTCTGTTTATACTTGTTTTAATTTATAAAAAGGTAATCAGCTCTAATTCTGTTAGTGTCCTGAAAAATAGTGAATTTCAAGTTCTTCAGCTTTATTGAGGTAGACAAATTATGAAAAATAAGCACCATATGCACACAATTCATCAATTCATTGAATCAATAAATATTTATTGCATACAAGTTGTATACTTGGCATTCAACTATATCCTGTCACTGTAAGGAGTCCCTGCCTTCAAGAAGCTTATTATCTAGCTGGAAAAAAAAAGATAATACAAAAATATAGGAACAGGAAGAAGATTTCACTATAGTAATGACTGTAGATTGATAATTTTCTTACCTTTATCTAATTTATTATATATATGCTTTGGCAGTTCTGGTGAAGATTCTACATTTGGGGGATAGACATACATTGCTCTGCTATGAGGTGAATTGAGATCCCTAAGATCCACAGCTTCTTTACAAACATTCAAAATATTTCTTCGGAAGTCTTGTACTTCTGGATCTTTAACCATATCAAATTCACACACTGGCATGCCAATGGCAAAACCTTTAAAAAATTATACAAAAAATATAACATTTTATTACACACATAATATGAACCTGCTTCTTACGAACAAGAAACAGGGAACTTTGTAGATATGGAAGATCACAATGGAGTAAAAAAGTTTCTCTGGATTAAAAAATTTTTTGATGAATATATATTTCTTAAGAGCTGACGAGGTCCCAAATATTTTTAATATATAAAAGATAATATCATCAGCAGTTTAGAGCAAAGGCAGCAAACATCTGTATCAATTATTTTTAAAAGAATAATAAAACAAAACTGGAATATAACAAATCTATCTCACAAATGAAATATCACAAGTGGTATTTTTTAAAGAAAACCTTATAGAATAATATCAAGGTGTAAATAAAAATAGTTCCATAGCTTAGCAGTCAAAAATACTTCAGATTTATACTGATTTATATTTAGAAAAGTATTAAGATTACAAAGGTACTGGTTTAGGCAGAAATATTTTAGTAATAAGAAGATGAGCTTCATAGTTATTTGTATTTTAGAATAGGATGACAATGCCATTTAGCTGAAAGTTATATCATACCAATTTCTCGATTGAGGATCTTTTCTTCACGGTTGCCTACTGGTTCAATTACTTTTAAAAAGGGTTGAAAAAGCCGAAGGTCACAAAGTCGTCTTGTTTCATCAAAAAATTCTTCCCTTTCTGCTTCTTGGGTAACACTTACGAAAATGTAAGAAGATTCATCTTGCAGAAGTTGATGGAGAGGGTATTTTCTTGCTTCTTTAAATAGTTCATGCTTTATAGTTATTAATGTAGCCTCACGGAGGCATTCTAAAGTCACTATCATTCCATTTGGTAGTAAACATTCTACTAGGATTCTTGGGGGCATCAAGTGGATGCCCCACAGTTCACCTGATGATGGTCGTGGAGGCATTGTTCTGATCCTTTACAAGTTTTACATATAAAACTACTTTAAGGAATTAGATGTATGTCTGTCCCAAAGCAGAAACCTACCAAAGAAAGGAAATATCTGTTAAAAGAGAAACAACTGTAGAATACACTTATGGCATTGCTAGATATAAAATATCATTTTTGTAGTTTGAATTGATTAGGATAAGTAATAATTATTCATCTTAAATATTTTAATTGAGACTACTGTTCTGAGGCTGTAAAGAATTGATTTCAGCAGATTACAAAGATCACGTGTATTTAATTATATTTAATAAAGTCATTTTAAAAACATTATATTTGAGTGGATTTTCTAGTCGGCTCTCATCAAGACAGAGCTGAGGCTATGGGAAGAATGAAAAGTTGTAATTCAAACCAAAATTCCCATCACATTTCATCTTTATCATTCTCTTCTATGTTATAAAGCAAAAGAATCTGGGCTAGAATCTTTTAGAACATGAGCCTGTTGCTCTTATTTGAAAGATAAATAAAGCTTAGAGAAGTCAAATCCTTTTACTTTTATAACCTCTACCTGCAACCTGTAATAATGAGAAATTACATGGCTTAGTTGTTCTCTCTTAAAACAATTTTTGAAATTTTGGGGTATTGATTCTTGTTGAAGTGGTATCTTAGACCATTTTGTTCTTAAAGTATGATTTAGGTATATATTTATAATAATACAAAGTGTCATTAATGCATTTTCTCTGAAGTATGATGATGAATTTACAGTGATCCATCCACTTTCTCAAATAACTTAGTCCTAATACTTCTGATTGAAATGATCTACAAACAAATAAGATCCACAACCCTGTCAGTACAATGTCCCAAACACTTGTGTTAAGAATTTGTAATATGGGCCGGGCGCTGTGGCTCACGCCTGTAATCCTAGCTCTTGGGAGGCCGAGGCGGGCGGATTGCTCAAGGTCAGGAGTTCAAAACCAGCCTGAGCAAGAGCGAGACCCCGTCTCTACTATAAATAGAAAGAAATTAATTGGCCAACTGATATATATATAAAAAATTAGCCGGGCATGGTGGCGCATGCCTGTAGTCCCAGCTACTCAGGAGGCTGAGGCAGAAGGATCACTGGAGCCCAGGAGTTTGAGGTTGCTGTGAGCTAGGCTGACGCCACGGCACTCACTCTAGCCTGGACAACAAAGCGAGACTCTGTCTCAAAAAAAAAAAAAAAAAAAAAAAAAAA